TCACCACCGCACAATCCTGTCATGTCCCTTGCACGTGAATTGTGGCGCTGAATCGCAAGCTGCAGTCCCGATGACGGCCGAGGCGGTTGTGATGATCCAGGCTGGACCATGTGCGCGCGCCGTTGTTGCAGGGAGTGTCCATCGATGAGGACCTACACTCTTGCAGTATCCTGCCGGATACCTCCCGTCTCATCGTCAGGAATATCTAGGATACACGTCGAACACCGCAGACGATCGCAAGTTCGTCGCGAGCCACAGCAAGTACAAGTATTAGTAGCAAGGTCGTTAATAGTGAGCACGAGCAGCTCACCGTGCTGTACCTGTGACGTCAAAGCGAAACAGTCTTCAGTCTATTGACCACATGCAGCACACAGTCTCGTCCTTGCAGCGTCCTGAGATGGATGCAGACTGTATGCCTCTTAGCATCGATGACTCGGCATGCAGAACCAACGTCCATGTTATGGACGCTTGATAGCTCATATGGCACTGCCAAGCGATGACGACGGTGCGTGCAGGATGAAATCCGAACGGTTCGCTGGGTTGGGTATCCGGATACGAGGACTCACTTTGCATTTTCAGCATGAGCTCCAAAGCCGTTGCGTTGGCGTCGACGTCGATCTGGTGGAAGGTGGGCGCGGTCTCGGGCGCGACCGCGGTTCTCCTCGGTGCGTCTCTAGCGTGCGGGTAGCGGTGCTGACTCACGACCGAGTAGGTGCGTTCGGTGCCCATGGCCTCAAGAACCGCGTCACGGACCCGAAGCTCCTCAAGACTTGGGACACTGGCGCCCACTACCACTTGGTGCACTCGCTTGCGCTCCTTGCCGTGCCCTTCTCGCGTCGCCCCAACCTCGCGGGCGGCCTCATCTCGAGTGGCATCGTCTTCTTTTCGGGCAGCCTCTATGCTATCGTGCTCACGGACCAGAAGAGCCTCGGCATGATTACGGTAAAACATCATCATCGCTCCCACCTTGTTCATCGCTCTATCCTACGTAGCCCATGGGCGGCCTCATGTTTGTCGCTGGCTGGCTCTCGTTGCTGCTGTAAGAAGCGTCCCCCAGCGTGGCTTCACGTGTGGCATCAAGCACAACATTGACATCCACTGTTTGTTTCTCCTACGCATCGCTCTTTTGCATTTGAGAGCTTGGCAGCTTGGAGGCAGTGCAAGCTGGGATAGAAGCAAAAACGACTAGCTATCCAAGTCTAGTTTTAGTCGCTGGAGTCGTTGCAGGGCGACTTTTTCTTCCTCGACATGGGACCGCGCGACGTTCTCGGCAGCATGCACCCGCCATCGCAAGAGCTATACGTTCTTAGTTGACATTTGCTGCAGAGTGAAAGGACGGACCTGGAATGCAGCTTTCTTTTCGTGAAATTCGGCATGGAGGTCGGCCACGAGCTGCCGGTCTCGGTCATTCTCATACGCGCGCAGTCCCTGCTTCTACATGCCGTGTGAGCTTCGCCATGTCGTCCTGTGCGCGATGACCACGGGGCTTCGCTTCGGGCTATTGGGTGCTTTTCGAGTCACTTTGACGTCGCGAAGCTGTTTGAGTGGCGACCGTTCAAGCTTTGCCTCGGCTTTGGTATCATCATGGCTGTGCACCGGACTCGGTAGTGTCTGCAAAACCGGGCGGGTGTCCTGTTGGATCATCTCGTCTTGAAGCTCAGACGCCCCTTCGCCATCGGGCAGCACGCAAGGGCCGATCGCATGCGCTCTACCGTGCAGATATATATGAGGCATCGCCTCACCACGCTGTCGCAAGTGTACGTCAAGGCAGCGATGGCCTCGTCGGCGGCGTTGCGAACCTCAAGGATGCACGCGCCAAGCCGAGAGAGTCCCTTGGACCGGCCGCCACCTGATTGCTCGTCCATCGTCGTGAGCGCGCAGTAAACGTCTTCCAGCATCCGCAACGCATTCTGCCAACGCTCGATGCCCCGTGGTTTGGTCTCGTAGAGCCTGTTGGACCACATGGGGCCGTGTCAACACAAGGTAGAAAGTACGTGTGGCGGTGGGGTACTTTGGCAACGGGCTTGACGACCGACGGAAGGTACGCGCCAAGGATGCCGCGCATGTTGTCGCTGTTCTTATGCGGCGCATTGGCGAAGAACCGACCGCGCTTCTCGCCTTCGTAGCTGCTCATGGTGATGCGAAACGATGCGGAAACGGCTCACACGACAATGTGATACGAGTCACGATCGCAAATGCCAGAAGCTGACTCGACTGCACTAATTAGACTAGCCATAGAAGCCTTGCTATAGGTAATTGTAGGCTCATGCGCGCAATGGCACTGGAAGGAGGAGCGTAGGATCCTGCATACATGCTTCGTTGCAGACCCTGCTGGTGACGGAAGCATGGAACCTTTGGGTTGACACTTGAAAAATCCCAAAATTATACCGGTAGGCTCGTGACTTGCACGGTCTCTTCTTACGTCGGGAGCTCGTTCATGGGTGCAGGGCGAAGCGATACCTTCGTGCCGGCTTGATTTGCGCGCGAAGCCGGGGGGTGTATCCGGCATCCGGATACAAGTCGACGCATCGCGGCGATTGGCTACAATTCAAATTTCGGAACATGGGCCAATGAGAGGGACGAAAACGAACAAATCTGGCGACGATACAAAAATCAAATCAAGGCCGATCAGGACCGCCGGAAGAGATGGAGCGCGTCCTTAGCGCCCTTCGGTCGACGGGTACGTCCATGGCGATAGGCGGAGCGATGGCATGGAAGCATGGACATGGCCCCTCCATGGAAGAGAGGTCTGTGGCTCATGGCGCTCGTAGAGACGAAGACACGCCTCATGGGCGTCAACTACGTCGAAACGTTCCTTGACGAGGAGGGTTGGGAAGAGATCTTGACCGCGCTTGTCGGATGCCTCAGCGACAACAACGCCAAGGTGACGCAGGGAAGCCTGCGCATGCTCGCCAAGCTCATCCAAAGCCCGTCCAAGCCCACAGAGCACATCCGCGGCTTCTTCACGCTCCTCTGGGGGCCGCTCAAGGAGAAGCTCGGGGACAGCAAGGCACCGATCCGCGAAGCCGCGACCGACGTTCTGCTGTGCCTCATCGAGAAGATTGGCATGGCCTGCGTCCTGGACCGCCTCCGGTTCTGCGCTGGACACAAGAACTGGCGTATCCGCGAGCAGGTACACGCTTTCCTCGACCACCTTCGTTGCACCCATGCGCGTCTTTAGGTGCTTGTCTGCATTTTCATGGCCATGGAGCGCTTCCGCGCCGAGCCGCAGCGGATATGTCAAGATGGCCTTTTGGAAATGGTAGGTTCAATCTCCATGTACACCGCTTGCTCACGCGTTTCCAGGCCTTGAAGCTGCTCGAAGACTCGACAAAAGATGTGCGCGACGCAAGCCTCAATGTGATCCACGTGCTCTACGGAATTCGTGGGGAGTCGCTCTTGGTACCGCCAGCTTCATTCACTTGCGACCCAAGTCCTTATGCCCCTTGTCTCATAGCTCGAACTTCAGTCCAAGAACCTTCGGCCTGCCCACATGCGCTTGCTCATGGGTCGTCTTGGTGGCGAAGTAAGCGCGCTTGCTATGTCTACGCTTCCGACCAAATCATATAGGAAGCGCCAGTAACCAGCGCGAGCAGCAGTACTAGCAGCCAGCCCAAGCGCCCAGTGGCTACGATTCGCCCGCCGTCGTACTCGCTGCCCGGCATCCCCGTCGCCGCGACGTCTCCGGCCAAAGCCAAGCGGTCCGTGTCATTTTCACCACCGAGATCGGCCCCCGTCGTGCCCGTGTGTGCGTACACGGACAAAGAAGTACGTCCTCGTACCATACACAACGTACGTAAACATTGAACGTCCTAGGTGCAACAGCAAATGACCATCGTCTTGGACGGCCTTGCCGAGAACCAAGAGTGGACAACGCGAGTCAAGGTCCGTACCTTGGCCCTCCCAATGGACTCGTGGACCCAGTCGTTGTGTTGTAGTCGCTGCAACATTTGCAGTCCCTTGTCGAGAAGGGTGCGACGCAAAGTGCTGTGTTTGCAACGTCGCTGAAAGCCATGCGCGACCGCATTTGCGACCAAGTCGGCGACCTGCGCTCGACCGTGACGCGAGAGGCGTGCAGCACGATCTCGTCGATGGCCAAGGCATTGGGCGACGCCTTCCACCCGTTCGTCGACAGCTTTATCGCAGCGTTGCTCAAGTCGGTCAGCGTGACGATCCAAATCGTGGCCGTCTCGGCCGACTCGTGCGTCAAAAACATCATCCAAAGCACCGACAACGGGTACCCCAAGGCCGTGCCCAAGTATGCCATACAGCCGTGCACCCGTCACGAGGTAACTTGATTTGTAGGTTTATTGACGGCGCACGTACCAAAAACAACTCGATTCGACTGCACTGTGTCGAGTACCTCACACTCGCGTGGAGCACGTGGGACCCGATGGCTTTTGATCGGTACGGCGATTTATTTACTTTGGTCGACGGTTTTTGACGCTGGCACTAGACATACTGAGACAATGGCTATCCTCCTGCCGTCCATCATTGGGGACGCCCACGCCGACGTTCGCGCTGCAGCACGCAAGTGCTTTTGGGCCTTCCATGCCGCGCATCCGGTAGGCCACGTCCCAAGTGCTACCGTTCGGGCGACTTATACGTGCTGTAGCAACGAGCAAATCAGGTGCTTGATGAGCTCGATGCGTCCAGTCGACGCCGCGTCGTCGATGAAATGGCAACGGCTCCCGCAGCACCCGCGAGCAATGCTCGACCGGCCTCCCGAAAAAACGCCCTGGACGCTCCTTCCGCAGCCGTGGGCCCGATTCCGTCAACCGTCAAGACGGCGCTGCCCCAACCTGCGGTTGTGCCCCTGGGTCCTCGTCGTGTCTTCAATGGGTCCGAGCACGAGGCGCACGCAAGCTCGTCGCAAGTGCCATCTGGGCCGCTTCGCGTGCCCATTCCCGTGCGCAAGCAGCCGCGCACCGATGACCGCGTCGACGAAGCCCCTCGGCGGAACCAGGCATTACGCGTCCTCAACACCAACACGTCATCTGTGTCGACTGCGTCCCACTATGTTGAGGTCGCCCCGACACCCACGTACGGTGGTCCATTGCGTGTGGAGGTCGCCCCGGTGTCCAGCCGATCGACGCATCCGGAGAGCACTCGGCGCCGTGCCTCGGCCACCGACGACAACCAGCGCGATGACCGACCGAGCTCTCTGTCGTCCGAGCTGTGGGAGAAGCGTGCCGACGACGCCATGTGGTCGATCCGACTCGAGACTGTCGACCATCTTTTGCGCATGGCCCCGAGCGTGATGCCACCCGACGCTGCCAAGATGGTCAAGATTGCAATGGCGCGGATTGGTGACTCGCACTTTCGAGTGGCGCAGAGTGCCATGAAGCTGCTGAGCCTCCTCGTACCGACGCATCCGTCGCTTGTGTTGCCGTACTTGAAGACGGCCCTACCCAAGGTAGCCTTGTTCATGCCCCCATCTGTTCGTGCTCCTTATACGATTATACGACCGGTGTAGGTGTTTGCCAAGCTAGTGGACCCCAAGGAAGGAGTTCGCGAGCAAGCCACGCTGGTGCTCGAGGCCATTGTCGCGTCATCGCAGCAAGGCGGCTACGATGCGTCGACGCTACTGAGTTGGATCGTGCCGTCGATGCTCGATGGACCCGTCAAAGTCAAACTCCTCGTGTACAACTGCATCTTGCAGCTTCTGCCGAGCGCACCCGAGTTTGGCAACGCCCCGGGCCCGCTTCGCGCGCTTGTGCTCAAGCTCGCCGACTCGATCGAGAATGATCAAGCTTCCGAGCGCGGTACCGTCACGGTCGTCACGAACGTGCTGGAAAAGATCTGCGAACTCTACGATGCGTCGTTCTCGATGGTTCTGCAGCAGCTCTCGCCATACAAACTCGGGCACATTCAAAAGTGCATAAACGTCCCGGCCCCGAAACTCAAGCGCAAGCACGAGAAGCCCGCCCCGCCGCCTTCAATGCTTACGAGTCCCAACCAGCCACAGGACGCTGAGCCAGGGACGCACGATTGGCTGGCCGTGCTCTGCGGCAACAACGCGTCACGAGAAGACAAGTTGTCTGCGATGGACAAGGTAGACATGTGGAAGGAAAGAAGTACCTCGAACCCTTGCACGTAGATCATGAAGGACATTCGCACGCAAGGTGCGTCCGTGCTTTGTTCGCCCGTGACGAATGCGATCGAGTGGCCGCGCATCGTGCTTGCGCTCCTCGATCTCGCCCTCGACAACGACTCGAACGAATACAAAATTTTGCAAACCAAGGTCATGCAGACAGCGGCGTTGATCTTGGCGACGCCCGAGTACGCGTCGTATGCTGCCACCAGCGTCGAGTCGCTCGTTCTCCAGCTGCTCTCGCGGGCATCCAGCAACTCTGTCCTCGTGCGCGCTATTTCGTTTCAAGGACATATGACCTGAAAGTGTGCAACTAGGGCCTCTACTTTGTCGAAAAGTTTGTAGCGCTGGCCATCACCGCCGTGTCCAACATTGCCAGCATCCGGCTCCTGGTCGCCCTCACAAAGTCGTCGCCGCAAGAAGACGTACACGTGCAAATCGCACTCAAGGTGCTCAAAACCGCTATCGATGCGATCGCGTCCTTCGATGCGCTCCACGTGGGCGAGTTTGATTGGATCGCGTCTGCTGTTGTCCAGGTACTTTATGGCTGTTGCCACCCAGTAGACTCTGACGCTGCTAGACGCTGTGCCACGCCAACTCGGGCGTCCGAAAGAACGCGGTCAACTGCCTCGTGAGCCTCTACTTTCTCGGCGGCTCCAACTTTGTGCCGCATTTGCACGCGCTTCCGCCCCACTACCAAAAGCTCGTGAGCCTCTATATTGAAAAGGCCCAAGTCGCAACGACGCAACGATAACGACAACGGGTTACAGTATTCGTATTAAATAATCACCGATCATGTCGGCGTAAAGGGCTGGATGCGCGTCGGCTGGTCGTACGCCGGGTGCGACGATGCGATTTCGCACAAAACGTCGACGGGGGTCGGGCAATACTGCTTTTGGAGGTAGCGCCAGCCAATGTCAAACCCAAAGCTGATGACGGCCACGAGCAGCAAGGCGAGGTAGAAGCGCGGGAGCGACAAGAGACTGAAGAACACGTCGGTGATCTGTGGCTGGAGCAGCGCCGAGAGCTTGGGCGTGTTGAGGACGACAACAGCTAGAAAGTAGAGCACGATACTGCCGACCGAGACACCAACCACAATTCGGTTGACGGTTTGCACCTTGACGAGCATGCGGATGGTCACGACGAGAATCGCGCACGAGAAGGACGCGACGCTCGTCATCCAGTGACCCGCCATGCGTCCGTGGGACGACGGCGACGCCCCATCGCCGAGTATTGCGACTGGAACAAAGTAACAGAGCGCCGAGTGGAGGATCGCCAGCAGCATGTGGGACAAAAAGAGCTTCTCGTTGAAGCTTTCGCGGAGCTGACCGGACTGATAGAGCTTGGGGTACTTGAGCGCCATGTCGGCCGAGACGTGCTAAGGTGGACAACATTTGTCCATATTCAAAAAGCGAATTAGGTACCTGATCAAAGCCGTAGCCGGCGACGCACGGGTACGAGGTGAAGAGCGCATTGTAGCCGAGCGAGAGCATGTCGGCGAAGAAGATCTGGCCCGAGAGGCCCGAGACCCAAGCGAACCAGTACTCGGTGAAGACGACGAGCATGTTCTTGTAAAAGTAGTACAAGATGAACTTGGAGATGCGCTGGTAGCCCCACGCGCCATGGACGAGCAGCAGTCGACTTAGAAAGCGAAACTAGACCGAGGTGAGGTTAACAGGACAGCTGCACTAGAAACCTGAGCAATCGAATAGTCGCTCGCGCGCACGGCTTGGGTGCCTTCGTGGCCGCTAATGCCAATCCCGAGATGGGCGGTTTGGATCATATTGACGTCGTTGGCGCCGTCCCCGATCGCCAGCGTAATCACGGGCAAGTTGTCGCGAACGAGTCGGACAACTTGTGCTTTCTATACCCTCCGTATCGTACGACAGTACATGAAGGCACATAGCACACCTGCTTGGGCGAGACACGGCAGCAAATACACGCGCTGCAGCGCAACGCGAGCTCCAAGAAAGCGGTTTGCATCGAGGGCAGCATCGCAAGCGAGAGAGTGTCGCCGTCGAGGACGAGGACTTCCTTCTTGGAGATCTTGCCGCGGAGCTCGAGAAGCTCCCAAATGTACTCGTAGAGGTCGTCTTCGGAGGTGCTCTTGCTGCTCAAGCGGTGGACCATCATTTGGCTCTCCTGCTGCAACAAGTTGCACGACCGGCCAATGTTGATCGCCGTCTCTTCCTTGTCGCCCGTGAGAACCCAAATGCGAATGCCAGCCCGGAGTAGGATCTCGATGGCCTCCGGTACGCCATGTTGCAGCTTGTCCTCGATCGCCGTGACCCCCAAAAGCTAAGTGCCAAAATCGAAATGCTGTCATAGCCATTCAATGTACCTCCAAATTGGTTTCGATTGCGCTGGCCACTGCTGCGACGAGGGCGTCGTGCTCGTCGTCGGTCGTGTCGGCGCTGCGCGTCATCGTGACTTGCTGGTGATGGGCGTGCCACTCAGTGTACGCGGCTTCGTCGAGCGTGCGACACGCAACGCAGAGAGTCCGAAGCCCTTCCTCGCCATAGTCGTGGAGCTGGCTGGATGTCCACGCGAGGTCGTCGGCTTCGGTCGCTTGGAGTCGCTTTAAAATGGCCGTGTCGGCGCCTTTTGAGAAGAGCCGAATGTCGCCACTCGGCGTGCGCACGATGATCGACATGCACCGGCGGTCGCTGCTGAATTCGAGAACGTTCAATATCGTATACGTCTCGTCCGTCATGGTCACGTTGTTGTACAAGAGAATGCTGGAGACGGTTCGGCACTTGAAGACAAAACTACGCAGTTGCAATGTGATATACATGCAGTATTGTCGGTTCTACCCCATGTTGCGCGCCGCGGTCACGATCGCGCCTTCGTCGGGACTTGACGCTTGAAAGGTGATGCTCATGAGGTCGGTGGAGTTCTCAGCGTCAACTTCAGGCACCACCGAGTGGCAAAGCGCAAGGCAGAGCCAAAAGTCCAGCAAGCGAGGCGACAGCGGCTCGCTATACAGTGCGTCCCAGGCGGGGGACCCAAAGAACGGCAGCGGTAAATGGCCACTGGGGCTGCGGATCAAGGCCTTCTTCACCGCTGGCAAGCTCGCGTCAGGGATGTAGGCGTCGAAGCGATACGATTTGTTGACACCAACAACTGCGCATGCGAGGAAGACCATCTCGTTGCAAGTCAACGTGCCTACACGCGCTGTGTGAACAGCATATACGGTGCTAGAATGGACCTGTTTTGTCGGAGAAAATGTACTCGACTTGACCAAGTTCTTCGACGAGGTTGGAGGTGCGGGATTTGGTGCGGACGCCGTTGGAGCCCATCATTTCAAGGTCGGCTTCGATGAGGAACTTTTGCAATAGTTTGACGACTTCAATGCCGACGTAGAGCGAGATCGGAATCAAGTTGGAGTAGGCGACCATAAAGGTAAAGTATGCTTCAACCCCGTCGCTCAACGGCGGCGGGCTGCTTGTGTTGAGCGCGTTGTGCAGATACGGCAGCGTATTGCGGCTGTTCCAGAGCAGCATCGCAGTCGCATTGATCACACAGAGCATCGCTAGACAGAGTAGCATGAGACAACGTGTCGTGCGTGGCCAAAGTACCTTGAAGGAAGAACACAAAGTAAAGACACCGGTTCATCGAGTTCATGACAGCACTCGACTTGTACGGCGGCTTGCTCGAGTTCAGAAAGGCCTTGGTCTCGTGGCCCGTGTACAGGACGAGGGCGATCGCCCACTTGGTGTGGCGCACGACTGTGCCGCGGCACAGCAGTTGTGACAACGTGAGAAGAACGGACGTGTTGTTGACGTACAAACTGCCCCGAAACGACACGAGCGAGGGGTTGGGCGATTCAAACTCGACGCGACCATCGAGACTGCCGAGCTCGCGTGCGCTGAGGCCGTTCTGGACAGCGTACACGGTCTTGAGGTTGGTTTCGCCATCGAGGTTGGCCGTGTCGATCGTGCACACGCCGCACTGCGTGTCAGACGATGTCAAGAGCAAGCAGTCGGCCGGTACTTCGCGGTCTTTCTCAAGGTACAGCATGTCGCCCACCTACGGCGGTGCTAAGTGCAATCTCAAATTCAATGTCAACACCTTGACGTGGTCCCATCGAATAGCCTTGGAGTAGAAGAGCGTCGTGTCCTTCTGCGCCGCCGAGCCCTCGTAGCTTGATGTGAGCACGGACACTTGGCGCGCATTCACTTCTTGGTCCGAGAGGTATCGCAGGTAGTCTTCGTACGCTTCTTTGGCGGCCGTAAACAAAAGCACGAGCACAAAGGTCACGATGAGCGATGTCGGGTTCTTGGGCGAAAATGGCATGCACGTGAGGATGCTCAGCACGAGGAAGTAGACGTTGGCGATGCGGCGGAATTGCTCAAAGAGGTTCTTGGGCAGAAACGTTAGTAGCGTGTACTTGGTCGTATGGATCGCGTTGGGCATGAAGCCGCGCCCTGCGTTGAAGGCCGCGTCGTTGATGTGCACCATGCGGTTGCCTGCGCTTGGGTGTCGTGCCGACGCCTCTCGTATCACGTGCTCCTTCATGGTGCTCCACGCCGGCGGCTTTGCGCGGGGGCGTTTTGCTGCTGCAGAAAGGCCAACACGGTGGCGATTCTATTTTTAGACGGGGAAAGCGCACCTTTTTAGGTGCGCTTTTTGTACCCACTGCATATTCCGTTGCCTCATGCACGAGCACTGATGCACGAGGCCTCATGGCAGGAGATTTCCGATGTGGCACGAGTGCTCAGCCAAACTCTCATACATTTTACGGTACTAGCACGGTACTAGCACTGCATAGTGGCAGGAGAGCGTGCGATATGATGCGCCGTGAGGACGATCCATGCAAGGGAAAATAGTGTGATGATGAGTTTCCATCGTCGCAATGCCCCAGTCGTTGTTTAGCTCTTTGACAAGGCGAGTGCGTCACCGTTCGTCAACTGCCATGTAAGCTTAGCTCGGCTCTGGCATGACGTGGAACCGTTACCACCAAAAGAGCACCTGTTTCTGATAAAAGGTGCGCCTCCTCGATGGCATCCGGAGGCTCATTTCCGGCAGGATTTGCGGGAGTTTTTAAAGTGCGATGGCGGAAACGGGCGGTGCAGCGGCGGACGAGGATGAGATGACGTACGAGACGTACGAAGAGGTTCGCCGCGAGCAAGCGCTCGTGGACGACGAGGTCAACTTGCTCTTCGGCATGGCCGACGTCGACCACTGCTCGTATGAGCACGGCTACATGCGCCAATTCCTGCACGCGTGCCTCACCTGCGCGCCTGCTGGCACGGCCGCTGGCATTTGCCTTGTGCGCCCTACGTTCGCCTGCAGCTCGCTCACGGTTGGCATCGTAGGCGTGCAGCTTGACGTGCCACGCCGACCACGAACTCGTCGAACTGTACACGAAGCGCCACTTTCGCTGCGACTGCGGCACGTCCAAGTTTCGTACGTCGTCGCTGTCGCAAACTCAGCTCTTATCGCGTCTCGTAGCAAACGTGCCGTGTACGCTGTACGAAGGCAAGGACAAAACCAACGGCGAGAACGCGTACGGCCAAAACTTTGGCGGTCTCTTCTGCTCGTGCCACCGCCCGCACCCGGATCCGGATTGGGAAGGCTCGGACGAGGTGTCAAAGCCAGATATGCTTCTATTGTGCTTATGCGACGACCAGACCATGATGCAATGCATCGTTTGCGAAGACTGGTACCACGAAGTACACCTTTTTGATGGTATGTCCCCGTGTATGCATGCCATACACAGCGCATGTAGAGGACGGAGGGGCGACCCAGGAACCTCCTGCGTCGTTTGACGAGCTCATTTGCCGCGACTGCATGGCAAAGCACGGCTTTTTGTACAAGTACATTGACGTGGCAGCGTCCGAGACCGCTATGACGCCGTGCCGACTGCCGACGACGACGCCAACGACGACGTCGGGCCCGACGTTTTGGCAGGACGGGTGGCGCCAACGACTCTGTCGCTGCGAGGCTTGCGTGCGCCGCTACGAGGACGCCAAGGTTGCGTTTCTTCTCGACGAGAATGACCCGCTGTCCACGTACGAAGCCAACGCCAAAGCGGCGGGCGAAGACTTGATCACCGCGGGTAAAAAAGCCTTGGTGGCCAAGCTCAGCCACACGCAGCAGGTCCGTGTGCTTTGTGTTGTATAGCAGAACTGAGGAATCGGATGGGATAGATCGAGATGGCGATGGGCGTTGCCCACATGACGTCGTCGCTCAAGGACTTCCTCAGCGACTTTGCACAGTCGGACCGGGCGGTCAAGGCCGAGGACATCCACGCGTTCTTCGAGACGCTGCAGCAAAACAAGCGGCAGAAGCGAGAGTGATGCTCTGTGAGGTACCACAACGACTCGGACAGGGTGCTTATAATTGGCTCTGAAAAGCGAACTGGAGTTAAGAGGCAACGAAATGCAATTTCAGATGTTGTGCCAGACCGTACACGTCGCCTAGCAACAGTCGAGTTGCGCTCGACATAGCTGCTCGCGTCTAGTTAGCCCTAACCATAAATGAGATGGATACTAATATTGCAGTGCATTGAGATAATCAGTCGACATGACTCTCGCTGGGGGTTTTGAATCGGTTTTGAACTAGAAAATGGCGTCGGCCGGCATCGCTGGTACTCTCGCGTCCTCGCTCGTTCCGACAGCAAATGCTCGAAGTAGATCACATGCACATGATGGCTGAGCTGCAGCGGCTCAAAGCACAAGTCGTCGACGTCGCGACGGTCAACAAGAGCCTTCTAGAAACGACGCGGTCGATCGAGGCGGAGCTCTCGTCCTTCGCCACGCTTTCGCAGCTGGACGCTGGCCTGAGCCTCAAGGTACTACGACTTGATGCGTCTTTTGTTCATAGTTACCTGTACACCAATCGTATTAGGCGTCGACAACCATGGTACCGACTCAGCTCGACGAGCTCAAGCAGTTTGTTCTCCAAGTATGTTCCATTTCCCAAGCCTTCCGGAATACCTTGGCTCGTTCGCTAGGTGCTCTCGTCCAAGACAGATCTCTCGCTTCTCGACGTCCTCTTGCCAAAGAAGCTCGACACGAGCGTCTTTGAAGTAGACTCTCCATCTATAGTCTGCTGCACTACAAAAGCTGAGTAGGCCTCCCAGCGACAGCACACGAAGGAGTACGCGCGCTTCGAAGACACGGTCCGAACGCTCTTTACATCGTTCGTCGCCGACGTCCAAAGCCACGTTCAAGAGATTGCAACTGGCATCGCCGCGCACGAAGTCACGGTGGCCGGTCACGCACAGCGCGTCGAGGCGACCAAGGACCATCTCAGCACCCTTGACATTCGACTTCGGCGCCTTGAGGCTGTATGCGGCGTGGATCCCACCGCCGCCCGCATCAGTCCGAGCGCGACGCTACCTGCAATGGCCGCGGCCTGTGCGTCCTTGGAAGCAGCCCAAGCGACGCAGATAGCGCTGGTTTCTGACCTGCGCGAAGCACTCGGTACGATACGCTGTTCGTTTCGCCGGCCTTTCCTCTCCTGATGCTTTGTAGAGACCACGCAAAGCCAAGTCGGCGCGCTTGAAGCGGTGGCGACAGGAACCAAGCGCGATATGTCTCGAAACATCGCCAACGAGATCGCGCGGCTGCAAGAAGCCGATGCCCATGTACAGCTTTGTGTCGACAGCAGATGGACAAAGTTGGGACTAGGGTCTGCGTCAACTCGAGAAGAAGATTATAACGCTCGTCGAGTCTGTCGATGCGGTTCGTTATAATGTGTCTAGAGTAGCCACGAATGGCAACCGTGGGTTAGGTCAAGGAGCTCGCGCAGAGCGCCCAAAACGACGTGCACGCTTTCCAAAATGCAGCAGCCACGTCCGTCTTGGATACGTACGACCGGCGCGTCGCAGGCTCGGTAGGTGGACCAGCTACCATACCAATATCTTCCGCATCCTTGCAGATTGAAGCGCTGCATGCAGACAACCAAGGGCTGCGCGACGCATTCCACAAGCACCACACCGTACGCCCTTCTCTTCGAAAACGCTAGTGCCACCAGGTACATAGACGCTTGCGGCGCAGTCGAGGTCCATCGAAGACTCGGTGCGTGCGCACGACACGTCCTTGTGCAGCGTTGAGCACCAACTCCGGCAGCTCGCGGCCCACTGCCGCGCCATCGAGTACATGCTCTCGCTACATTTAAATGTATTGTCACTGTACGCCTAGGCGAGAACTCGCTGCGCTCAAAGGCCCGTTTATCACCGAAGTGCGCAACCTCAAGCAGGAAAACTTTGTCATTCTCGACGAAATCCGCCGCCAACAGGTGAGCTTTTGCCTCGGAAGAATGATACACGAGACGCCATAGGACATTTCGCGCGAGCTCGTCCTCGACTACAAGGACGCAGTCGGCGCCTCGGGTCCGACGCGCCCATCCACGCTGCCGCCGACGCATGTGCTGCCGACAACGAGCGCCAACAAGGCGCGGGCCAAGACATCGCGCCCACAAACGTGCGGTCCACCCGTCAACTGCGCCAAGCGCTTTGGTGTTGTGCACTCGGCGCGCGAACCTCGCGAACGCGAACGCGCCCGCACGGCCGGGGCCAAGCCCAGCCCCCGCGTACGGCAGTCTTCGCAGTGGGTACATAGGATCCTTCATGTCAAAACTAGAGCGATGGGCCCATTGTACTGCCCCCGACAAGGACAAATCAAGCAACACAGTTCCTAGCGTCGATCGAGAACGTTGACATCGAGAAGCAACACGCGCATGCGGATGGCGACGAGGATGACGACGAAGACCCGGCGTTTGAGTTTGGCCGCACGAGCCCGCGCGAGAATGGGTTCCTAGTTCGCGATTTGCCGTACGTCTCTGCATGACGCTAGCGCAACCGATGATCGATGATGAGCCTAGGCACCGCGTCCCGAGGCGTCCGCAGAGCAGCCACGACTACTAGCTTGCGTCGTCGTTGGAGCAACACAATAGGCGAGAGCGTTCTCAGCGAGCTTCTTACAATATAATAATACGGACCTTTTCTCTACATCGTGCTGGTATTTACAAGTCGTCGTCTTCGATCTCGGCGTTCTTGGCGCGAATCGGGACGTACGCCTCGACCGACTTGCCTGCGGCGCGCTCGGCTTCCTTCTGCGAGTACTGCTCCTGCGCCACGTCCTTGAGCCGGCGCTTGTGCACCTTGGACTTGATGTGCACGGTGCGCGCGACCTCGTCCATAAAGTGGCGGCCGCACGGCGTGCAGTAGAACTGGCCGAGACCCGGGAGGTCCTCGTCGAGCTCAAAGGTCATGACCGTGCCGGTCGTTTCTTCCTTCTTCAGGTCGTCCTGGATCTGGTCAATGTCGCGGCTGCGGCTCTTGGTCGCATGGCCGCGCTTGTAGCCCTTCTTCTTGCAGTGGGCACGCTTCTTCCCGGTCGTCGGCCCCGCCATGGTTGCAACTTCAACTGTGATACCAATGGCATCGCGACAGGTCATGCCACCTCTGTCCAGTCAAACAAAAACCTCTTCAACCGCATACACACGGCAAAAACGAAGTTCGAATCGAAGTATAAAGCATGACAGTATTGGGTGCTCCACGAAAACCTCTCACAACGCATGTGCTGGAAAGAGCACCAAGGAAGAGCCTGAACGTTCCAGACGAGCCCGTCGGGGATTGTGCTATCTAATGACACGCAACTCGTATCCTTGAAGCCAACGGCAGTGTAGGCGCGTCCGCCACGTACGCGCGAGATGGTCAACAAGAGGGCCAGTAAGTCATCTCGAGAAGCTATAACTCGGACGAATTGACGTCGTTCAAATTTCGACAAGTTCTCTCTCCTGCCATAGACGTTCTTTTATGCATTCCCGTTCTCGATCCATACAACCATGGAGATAGACAGCGTTCATGGTCATGAGGCTTCGCCAAGCTTCATGTCGTGCGAGCGTACTCACCTTGTAGATACAACATCATCGGCTCTGCAGTGCGCTCGGTACATTGCACCCCGTCTTGTCCCATGGCCACTGCTGTCGCTCGTCCTCGGCATATCTTTTGGCCGAGATTGCGTGCGACTAGTCGTCTTCGGGTCGCGCCGGGGCCATGCATTTTAAGAGGGTTTTGTCAACGTAAACGCTGGCCGTGCTGGCCAGTAATCAAAATATTCGATCCTCTTTTAATGCATCGATAACAATAAATACATGCTTCTTTTATTTGTCGTCCAATGGCCTTGTCACAGGATGCATACAAACACCAAGGTCATTTCTGTTCCCGCTGGTTCGACATGAAAAAAAGGTTTTTCAAATAGAATAAAAAGTACGACGCAATATAAAACAAAATTGATCGGGCTCCCGAGGTATCGTCGCCAGCGGTCACTTGGAATAATTTCGCCATGGTGCTCAACCAGAAGACCGAGCACGTGTACCCGTACGCCTGGGACGTCGTCTCCCGCGCCTTCTGGAACAAGTACCCGAACGCCAAGCTCACGCACGTCGAGCGCATGGACGTCGTCTCGCGCTTCATCGACGGCGAGGGCCGCCTCCACTCGGCGCGCCTGGCCAAGTGCTCCCAGAACAACATGCCGGGCTGGGCCGAGTCGATCGTCGGCAAGTACTCGTACGTCTACGAAGAGACGATCTGCGACCCGGTCGCCAAGACGCTCCAGCTCAAGTCGACGAACCTGAGCTTCCGCAGCGTGGCCACGATCAACGAAGTGTGCCTCTACACGCAGGCCAAGGGCCCGGACGGCACGTTGTCGCACACCAACTACACACAGGACGCGCAGGTGAGCGCGTTCGTGCCGTTCCTCTCGCAGAAGCTGGAGCGCCTCTCGGTGAGCCGCGGCGCCGAGACCGCCGCCAAGGGCCTCAGCGCCATGGAGGCCATCTGCAAGGAGATCTTTCAGGGCAGCTTTGCGCTCTGCGAGCCCGCCAAGTCGAGCTCGCTCCACGCCAAAATCAACCTCGAGTGAACCGACGTCGAAAAATGTATGGTGATGGCCGACGGCTGACGCTGCCGACGCGACGATAGACGTAGAGGGTCGTGCGCGGTCAAAGCTTGGGCCTTGTATCTATTTAACCTTGTGCTTTGTTGCATGTTCTATTCGTCTTCATGTTGCGATTGCGAGCAAGGCCGATATATTTTAGAGCACCGCTTATGGCGGCGACAGGGTCTCACCGTCGATCGCTACGTCTGCGACATCAATCGTCGGAGTAATGTCTTCGACCGACACGGCAGCTTCGTTCACCGTTGTCACGTCGTCGCCTCCCGCAGCCTCATCTTGGTCGTCAGTGCTTGGAGACTCTTCCTCGACGACGAGCTTTAGGTCGTCGACAGCGTCCGTTACCACGCCCAACGCATCGGCCTCTTCCATCGTTGTCGTCTCCTCGGCGGTGGTAGTCAACACCGCGTCCGAGGCGCCTCGGAGCTGGGTAAAGCACACGTGGATATCGACATGGGGGTCGTTTCCGAGGGCGCGGAGCGCGTCGGTCGGGATCGTCAAGTGCTCTAATCAACGGTAATCCGTCAAATATGGTCGCTTCTTCCTCGGTTGTCTGTACCTTGGAGCTCGACAAGGATACGCACGAGCGCAAGCCGGACGTTGAACACTGGGTCGCTAGCGAGCGCAAAGAAGGGCGCTGCGAGCGACGCTTCAAATAGAGGCGCGTGGCCGCCAAGGACAAACGCCCGACAGACGCGGATATAAATCTACGCGTGTAAGACAAATGGCCAAAGAGGTGGAGGTACCTGGCGATGTATGTACACGGACGAGGCCTGGAGCGCTCGGACCTGGTCGGCAAGGGCCTCGGTCCACTCGGGGTTCTCGGCCAAACACGCAAAGAGAAGCGGAACCGCCTAGCCAGCATCCATTTTCGCAAATAGGTCGATGTGTCATCAACGTACGTGGAAGCTCGAGTCGCGTACGCACGCAACGTCGTCCGTCACGAGCTGAAAGATGAGCGGCGCCACGATCGCAAACGTGTCGGCGGGCGGAAAGAGCGTGCAAATCGCGGGCAGTTGCTCGCTAATGAGGCCGCGGAAGCGCCACTTGAGCTTGAATTTCGAGTGCGCTTGAAAATCGTTGAATTCGGCGAGCACTGCGAGGTACTCGTGGCGCGCGGTCGGTGAAATGGCGGCCAAAAAGTCGGCAAAATGGGTGATCGAGCCCATCTTGACGTCGTCAATGTCCTGGAGAAACGTGTCAAAGGCGCTCGTGAGGTGCGCCTCGGTCATTTCCGGCCCCAAAATGCGCGCAATCTCGTGGAGCGAGTGTGCGAGCGTGCGCCGGACCTTCCAGAACCCGTCGACGGTCAGCGCCTCAAACGCGCGCGAAATGCGCGGCCAGCCGTCGCGTCCGAGCGTGAGCAGGACCGCCGGAAAGTTGTAGGCGCAGTGAAACTTCATGTCGGCTTCGGCGCCGCTGAGAAGAAGCGCGGTCGGACGCGTTGCCATGTCGGCGTACGACGTGGTGAGCGTCTCGGTGATCTCGTGCGGCGGCAGTGTCGAGAGGTACGGACCGAGCTACGTGATGACAATATGAACACTTTGTATCAAGGTATCAGGAGGAAAAATACTTGCTGATAGGCCGCGATACGAACCCACTTGGAGGCGTCGTGGGAGAAGGCCGTGAAGAGCGGTGTGAGCGCCGACGCCCGCTTCTCGGGTGCAAGCGTCTTGGACATATCGACGAGCGACTCGGCACACGCCTTCCGGACTCCCCAGATTTCGTCCTTGGCCAGCCGCGTGTACGCCGGCAAGAGGCGTTCTAACCGCCATACGCTCAGGATAGGTAAGAGAAGACGAAGGCCGTACCTTCCGTGACCTCCGGGCCCGCCGTCATGCACACGTTGGCAAAGTTGAGCACCATGGCCTTCCGGACGCGGAAAACCGGATCTTCGGAGAGCGAGATGAACTCGGGGACGCAGAATTGGCAGCAGAGGTCGCGGCCGAGGAAGACGGCGAGCTTGTTGAGCAAGATGAGCTGCCACATAAATTTTCGATGAGATCGAGAGGAAGACAAGGAGGCGACGTACAGCGGTGATGCGCATCTGCTCGTCGTCGTCTTCATGCGCAAACGGCAGGACGAGCGTGAGCACGTGTTGGCCTTGGTCTTCCGACTTGATAATTTCGGCGATCGTCACGAGGCTCTCGCATGCAATGTGCCGGACTTCGGCTTGGACGTCCGAAAGGAGCTTGCTCATGAGGGGCATCATGGTCTCGAGCACGATCTTGTAGCCGTCGTCGCCGCCGGCCGAGACGAGAAACTACATGGAATCGCGTCAAGCATGACAGCACACGACGCGCGCAGACCTTGCACAGGCCTGGAAGCTGCCCCGCAACGTGTTGTCGTACGACAAACTCGACGTCGCTCACAAGCGGCTCGAGAAGCGGAATGATGCTGGTGCACGTCTTCTCGTAGCTACCGACGTCATGAGCTTCGCCCATGCAGAGATGCCTCATCAGGTCAAGACGCGTACCCAGACGAGACTGCCGTCTCTTCGAGCATGCGCACGTGGATGACCCGCTGCAGCGCAATGTTGCTGTCGACATAGCGGATCACGCGGTCGAGGTCAGTGAGCGAGTCGTCGATCGCGAGGTCTTCGAAGGTCGGGCCGCCATCGCGGTCGTCATGGTACCCTCCCTACGTCCCATGCGCATGAGGCTACGCGCCCATGCCATGGCCGCAGCTGACGTACGTGCTCGGACATCATCCAGCGCTCCTCTAGTCGGTCGACTACGAGGAGGGGCAATTGAAATTGGAATTGACGCCCAGTTGCTTATCCGGATGGTCCCGACCAGCGTATCCGGATTACAACCAGAATCGACGCCGGGCTGGCGTATCTTTGGCGCCAGCGTAGCGGCGCGACCCGCGCTGGCGCAGCTTCATCGCTCGACGGCTGTACCTGGGTAATACTGTCAGAGGTACTGTAGAGTCACGAGGACTGTGAAGATCTTCCTTGGGGTGTGGCCTCAATGGCGCGCCCTCGTAACGGCCATCGGAAGCGCTGTGGGCGAATTGGTAACGCCGGCCGGTAACTTACGCGTTGCAGCGCATGAGGTGTTCTTGCTTGCATTACACGAGTGCTCTCGCAACAAAAATGGTGCGAGCTATGCTCTTGCAGCTCCAAGCACTGGATGTGGTCGGCCTGGACAGTGTTGGGTGGACGAGCCAAAGCCGATGTTGACACGCTAGGGCAACCGAGGACGCATTGGGTCTGACAGCTAAATGACACTGCAGCACATATACCGGTACGACCATGGAGCCGCATCAGTATAGAGATGCTTGCATAATGATAGTTCAAGGTTCCTCCTTGTATGCTACGTGCACCTGCGCCGACCGAATCAAGCCGATTGACAAGATTGAAGCTGAACCTCATAGATCAGAGGAGCATAGACGCAAGATTTACTTATCTTCGCAGACGAAGAGGTGCACAAGGCTCGTCACTTCATCGCAACTCCACGGCCCACCACGACACGGCCGACTTTGCCTGCGTCGACATGTCGTATTGGCGCGCGGCGAACGTTGTCGTCGTCAAGATGCTCGTCACAAGTGCGTCATCCGACGTTGCCGTTTCACACGCGTGTGAAAAATTGAAGCATGCATTTTTGTATGCTCTATTTCACACACACATCCAATACCACGTGCAAAACGTGTACGGCGTGAAATACAGCAGCATGCAAACTTCAAGACGATTGCCAGCGGCGACGTCTAGTGATACTAACCCGAGCCCTGTGAAAATATGGCCACCCTGGTTTGTCGTTCTCTTCCACTGAATAGCCGAGGGATCGATCACTCATATCGGAAAAGCCCCCGGTATTTCCCAGGACGCTGGGGAATATCGGATTCTTTTTGATATTATTTTTATTGCTGCACACACAACCAAATAGAGCTCTTTTGATTCGTCTGGAATGGGTTGGTGGTGGTTACTAGTCCGCTCTGGACGAAACTTATGCCGTATTGTATGCTTCTGGCAACGCCAATCGATCTGCCCAAGGTTGATCGTGAAACCCTACCCCTGCCACCGCTGTCAACTCGAATGGCCGTGGAGTAGTCGATGAATAGTCACTAGTTCGCATGTCAAACGCAAAGAGTGACGCACATTGCGTGTAGACGCTGCGCGTATAGACTCTCTACGAGGGCGACGAGGACATGTCGTCCGCAGTCGGCGTGCACTGCGTTGTATCTTACCTGGTAGCAGTGGTGACGACGCTGAAAGAGTAAAAACTCATGCATTACGAGTATGCAGCGGACTAGAATGGGAGGATTGGGTTGCATTGGGCTGCTGAGTCCTGCTGGAATTGGTCGGTGAGCTCGTGGATCGCTGCCACAAAAGCGTCGATCACGCAAAGGTCATCAGCACCGGCGTCGCACGTGTCCATAAGCGCGGTCATACCATCCATCGCGGCGGTCACCGTCGCCTTGGAGAAGACGTCGTTGGCCGCCACCGGCTCCACGAGGCCGCCGAAGCGACGCTGGAGCCCAAACCAGATATGGCGCAAGACGTTGCCGACATGCACGAGGTCAAGGTGCAAAAACGCATGCCACTCGGCATCCAGCGTGCGCCGGAGATCGGCGAGGTCAGTCGGCTCTTCGACGCTGAAGAGGAGGCGCAACGACCGACTGAGCTTTGTCGTTATGGTCAGGCGCTTGACGGCGCGCGTCTGCGCCACGCCATACGCCTTCTGAAGCTTGCTGCGGCGGTCTTTCTGGTCGTGGTACCGCTGCTTGGCAGCGCCCGCATCTCGAGCCCACACCTCGCCAGCGTTGTGGATCGTCGCTGCACCGATTGAGAGCTTGAACGCCGTCGCAAAGCCACCGCGCGCACTCGGGCGACCGCCGACCCAGAACTGCGACCCGCGAGTGCAGAGGTCCGAGATCGCTTCCAGCGCTGGGATCGAAGGCATGCGGCCGACGATGCGCAGGGCGTTGTACGCATGCAGGACGACGGTCGTTTGGCGCATGTCGTCCATGGCCCGGTAGCCGAGCGCAAGATGCGCCGAGATCACCACGTCGAGCATCCACTGCCCGGCCATCCACGGGTTCAGCCACGCTCGGGTGCGAGCGACCGCCGACGACTCGTCGTCCTTGGTCGCTGCCCACAGAGCAAATCGGAGCGTCTCGGCGTCCGCGTCGAACACACGCTTGTGCTCGGTGATGAGGTTGGGGCGCTGCAAGCCGAGAAGGACGTGGCGATACGACTGCTTGAGCGCCACGACGGTCGACGCGGCCACCGATGCGCACGTGATAGCGTCCTCTGGCGGCCCTTGTACGGCGAGTATCGAGACAAGCAGGCACTGTGTGGCAAACACGAGCTCTGTCGACGCCACCTTGGTCTTGCCATACGCGCGCAAAAGCGTGACGTACGGCCGCAGTGTCGCCCCGGTGCACTTGCCGTAGCGGCCATCGTTCTTGTCCGACGTCTGCCGCATGGCGATCGTGAGCAGCGGGACGAGGACGTCGAAGAACAGCATGTCATGCAGCCCTTTGGTGGACGTGGCAGGCGCCGTGGCCTCGTCCCACGCCACGCGAGAGGTCACCGCGATGCGTGTTCCCGGCTGCAGGATCGGTGCGACCATAGCCAGAAGGTTGTAGACCTTGCCGAGATGGTTGTCGCCGCCAAAATGCCGCGTATTCTGCGTCCAGTCGCTGCGTAGCGCGGCTATATACGCGAGCTGCAGCAACGAAGCACGATCCTCTGGCAGACCAAGCGTGTGTGCCATCGTGGCGACGAGGTCATCGAGCGGAATGCGGTGGTCGTCCGCGCGCAAGCACCAGTCGACGGTGTCGCCCATGCTGAGATCCGAGTGGCTCAAGAGGAAAGCGGCGAGTGGCGTTTTTCCAAGAAGAACACCAACGTCGCCGAGCGTCTTGAGGTACGGAAGCTCCAAACAAAGCTCGGACGCAAGGGACTCGACGACGCGGACGCAGTGGTTGGTAACGGCGGTCGCCGCCAAGAGCGTCGTCTCGCCTTGCTTGAAGGCCGCCCAGACAGCATGCACCTCGCCCATGAGCTCATCCATGTCCAGCACGAAGCATGTTGCGCGAAACTGATCGTCGGCAAGTTGCGCCACTCGTGCATCCGCGGGCAACGTCTGCACTGGAGGTGAGTACGCCGTCGCATCAAAATGCGGCATGTCATCGTCCTCGTCGTCTTCGTCTGCAAGAACCTTGAACGGGTTCGAGAGGCCACCTTCTGCCGCCGTCGTGCGCCGAGTTGCAGTCGGCGGTCGTCGCGGCGCGAGCTTGGATCGAATCGCGCGCAGCAAGTCGAGAAAGTGCATGTGGCCAGCGTCGGGCGGTAGCGACCGTGTTGCCATCCAGCGCAGACGAATACTCGTCGAGAGCTCCGTCCAGATGTGCGCCGGCACGAGCAGCCCTTTGTCGGCGACGTCGAGAGCGGCGGCCCAGATCTGTTTCGTTGTCCATGCCCCGGGCGTCGTCGTCGCCTTCTGCTTCTTCTTCTTCGTTGTTGCCGTCGACGTCACACGCTGAAGCCACGAGACGACGGCGTCGGTGGCGGCCTTGTACTGGTGCCACCGGCTCGTCATGTGCTGTGGCTTGCAAAAGGGCGACTGCGATCAGACTGCAACATGCCCTAAAACAAGGAAACGTTGACCTATTCAGGATAAATCCTCAAATTGAAGGCCGTGCACAAAGTGCGTCATCCTTCCAGCAGTGGGATCTCGGGATTGTATTGCCGCCTCCTCTCCAATCGCAGTCTGCTGTATGTTGGTTCCAACATCGGCGCGCAAATCCATCAAGCTGTGGCGTCGGTCTCACGGCCGCGGTCGTGCGCGACCAGATCACCAAGGAGATGACGCTCGAAGGCGGCGCGCTTGTGCTGGCCGACATGGGCATTTGCAGCATCGACCACAAAGACCAACCACACCCTGCCCCAAGAAAACCCGACGATTAAGGCAGGGGACGTTTGTAACAAGGTGAGCCGCCCGGTTACCACAATCTCGCCCGAACGTGTGGGTCACTGTGCACCGTCGCCGTGACCGCACACGCCGTGTCATCTTTTCTTCAGTTTCGTTCGTCTTGCATCCATATCAGTTCAAGTCCCACCATCCTCTGCACATACGCATTTGCACGTGCCTCGTTGCCTTTGCCACGTTGAAGTATGCCCTTAGTCTAGCTCATCGTATCTAGCATAGTAATTCTAGGTTAGTCTTCTGTCGTATTTCTTTCCAATGATCACGTTCAGTTTTGCCTTGTCTCGACCACCGGGTCTTGTCTAAGGCTTACGCTTCCTCATCACGCGCAGTAGCAGTGCCTCAACGGAGACGTCCAAGAGCCACTCGTTACAACGTTGGACTTCAATGCACATGATTCCGTACACCGACGAGTCCAAACTACGTCACACGTAGTACACGATCCCTCCGCTAGATTGCACGCTAACCCAATGCAAAACCTCAACCAAAGAGCTCGACCAAAACCAGCCCCAAGAAAACACGAGGTTAACCCTAGTTTAATGTAGACGGAAAGTCGAGGGTTCGATCCCATGAAATGCCCCGGAATTACTAGCTTGCTAAGGGGATTTGGCTTTTTGGACACGAATGCATTTTATCGAGTTGTTCAAAAACAGCCGAAATGAGGGACTATCGACTGCTGTGCTAGAGTATCGACTGCTGTGCTAGAGTAACATCGCAACTGTCGATAGAGAATAGGGTCCTTGCGGTAACGGTATAATATAGTGAAAGATTTGACAGCGTCGTGCGTGGGAACGCTGGACAAGCGGCAACGATTACACTGGTCCGCTCCGTCGAAAGGTCCTTGTTCTCAGCTTGAGCTTGCATACCCGATGGCCGTCAAGTAGCCCTACCCTAGCCCGTTCTGGCACCAACCCAATAAACGCGACGAGTGGACATGCGACGACAGATGTAGTACTACGACTTCGCATTCAACTTGCATGTTGTTGCTTCTCGGCTACGCTGTCAGAAGATCGCGCTGGGTCTGACGAAGTCGCGTCGAGATTTGCAGCGCATTGGGCCGAATATCCGCGTCCATGCAAAGGCAGTCAGCGCCAAGCGCGCGCAGCCAGGCCGGTCCATCGACCGAAAACGACGGCGCCAATGTGCCTTGCAGCACGCGCGTCGCAATGACCGAGTCGCTCAGCGCGTGCCCGCGGGCGTTGCGGAGCTCCGCGTACGGAAGACCGCGCGTATCAAGCTCCGAGAGGATGACGCCAAAGGAGTAAATGTCGGCGGCCGTCGTATAGTGGCCGCTCTGGAGCACCTCGGGCGCGACCCACCGGCACGTGCCGACGCCGGCCGTCATCGTGCCGCTTGACACTTCGCGCGCGACGCCAAAGTCGGTGAGCTTGATGTGTCCACCGGTGTTGAGGAGCACGTTGCGTGACTTGAGGTCGCGGTGGATCACGTCGAGCGAGTGCAAATACAAGAGACCTTCGGCGATCGCCAGCGCCATCTCGAGCCGCGCCGACTCGATGAGGACGACGTTGGTGGCGAGCAGTTGGCGCAGGTCGCCGAGGTCCATGTACTCAACAACGCACCAGAGATCGATGGGCCGGCTCCACGCCGCGCCGAGGAAGCGCACAATATAAGGGCTCGATAGTCTGCACACATTCATGAGCAGTTGAACGTCAAGAAGTCGTAGTCGTCGTACTTGGAGAGGAGCTTGGCTTCGGCGACGAGGCCGCAGACGTCCTTGATCGCTGTGCGGTGGGGCAGCAGCGCCTTGATTGCGACAGCCTGCCCGCGGTAGCTCCCGAGAAACACTTGGCCAAACGCACCAGATGCGAGGACGCGCTGCTTGGTCAGCAGTGCCTCGTCAATGCGGAACGGCAGCAGGTCGGTCATGTCGAGGCGGTCGTGCATGCTCGCGTCGCTGACGCTCGACGGCGCCGTGCCATCGTCGCTCGTCTTGAAGTAGCTGTGGCCAGATCCGCTCTGCTGCGCGCACTGGCGCTTGAACGCAAAGGCGCTGATGACAACGACAGCGAGACCAGCGAGGCTGCCCCAGACGATCGGTCCGGGTGACGCGTGCGACGAGTTGAAGAACGCTATCCAATGTACGTACGGGCGTGACGACATACGATATGTACTCGTACGATGACGTACGTTCTGGCGACACGCAGACCGCGATGCTCAGGCTGTTGCCATTGGGGATGCCGAGGAGGGTGCCGCCGGCCGCGCACGATAGGACCTTGGATGCGCCAATCACAACGTTTTTGGCGTCCTTGAGTGCAAGGTAGGATGGCATATCCAAAGTGAACTCGGCCAACTCGCAGCGATCGCAGCGGCTGCATGGCATGAGCGAGCGACACAGAGGCAAGGTAGATCGTACAAGGTCATCAAGGTGGTCGAGAGCTGCACGTTCTTGATGCTCGTGATCGCATTGGCGTCGAGGTTCCTAGCATGTCCATGGATCCGATGTAAACGGCAAGGTATGGTGCCATAGGGGCTCATACACGTGGCTTGTGCGGCGCCAGTCGTAGTTCTCCAAGGCCACGAGCGAGTTGTTGTAGAGAGAGCTAGAGAGAGAGAAGCTGTGTTTTCGAACCGCTATAGAGTCGCACGGTGTACATCGTATCGACGACCGGGCCATTGACGTAGCTTTGCAGCGTATTGTTGTCCAGCACGCTAGCACACGCCGTAGAGTACTTGACACAGAGAGGCCAGCGCAGTAGACAGTACTGTACATCGAGGTGAGTCGCGCAGGCCAGAGCACAGTCGCTGGCAATGTCGAGAGGCCGTTGTTCGGTAGCGCCCTACGCAAATACTTCAACACGGCGTGTTGCATGGACGAGGTTCGCGTTGTCAGACAAGATCGAGAGGGAAGCGGGAAGCACCATCTTGTCGAGCTGTACGCCTGGGTTGAAGGCAATAACCCTATGATCGCATAAGGCGTGCATCATCCAGAAAGGGTCGTCGTACAAGGTCATGCAGTTTGCGATCGCACTGCCGTTCGGTGCTTTCGAGAGGTCGCCGACGGTCTTGATCCCATTGCCGACGAAGCGTAGCATACTGAAGTCCGGGATCTGGAGCAATGCGGAGGCGCTGGTTGTGACGAGGCCTCGAGACGCGATGAGACTTGCGGTCGTCCAGGACGCGACCTCGGCGCAGCGGCTGTCGACGACGCAGAGGGCCGTGCTGTCGTTCATGCAATAGCCGGTCGACAAGGAAGGCCCTGTGTATGGACAGGCCACCTCGGCCAAAGTCACACCAACCACCGCGAGGACGGCGGCCATAGGTCGGCGGAGCATGGTTGCACCTGGGTTGCTTCGGTCGAGATTGGAAATGCCAGAATATCGAAGTGCAAACTGGTCGTTTCAGCCAATCCGAATCGAGCACCCAACACCGTCGCACCTGATTGGCTACTTTTGCCAAAGATCGCGATCCACGCTTTCGATATAGCTCCACGTCATAGTCTGCACATGCATATCGAAACCTCCCATGAGGCAGGACACTGGCCGTGCTCAGCAGCAGCAGCTGCGAAGGAGACCGTCGTTGGCGGCAATAATACATGAGCGCAAGGCAACAAACAAAGAGATGAAAGTGACGAAGGCGATCGATTGCCAGCGACGCATCCTGGCGCAATCACGGCGCCCCATACAAAACTACTACCACATACTAGTACAAAACTGCATGTTTGCGACTCGAGCAAGCGCTACGACTGATGCAACCCGCATCGGCAGCTAGCCTAGACCACGTATGAGTCGAAGATCGTAACAGCATTCGGATGATACGTGGCCGTGGCCGTTGCCGGGCTGCGGTGTCGCACTGAGGTAGGCTGCACCACAGCGGTAGCAAAAGGCCCGTCCGCTAAGTACCACAAGTGTATACTTTAGGGCACAAGAGCACACTTCTTACCACTTGCACGTCACGTAGTTGCAGCCACCATTGCGCTCAATGACCGCATGGCACGCAGGGCAGTGCTTCCAGCCCATCGCTGTCTTGAGCGTCATAAACTGCGTATGGTCTGGGTCGCCACCAGAGGCGAGAATGCGCTGGTACGCGGCGCAGTCGAGGTTCTCGTGCCACAGGGCGTGACAGCCATGGCAAAAGTGCACCTTGCAAAACGAGCACTGCGCCTTGACCATGCCGGCGTACACTGCGTAGGGTCGACTACACACTTTGTTGGGGCAGAACGCACGATGCGCCTCCGCGACCTTGCTGGCCAAGAGACTCTGGAACTGCGCAAGGAGCGTCGAGCCCACAAGACTCGCAACATCACTGGGCGCAATCTCACGCTTGCACGCAACCACGCAGCAGGTGATGGGCGCTTCACGATGCTTGACCTTGGCTTCCAATTGCGCCCGAAGACAGTTGCCGTGATAGCGGTGCTTGCAGGCGAGCTCCCAGCTCCCGCCGGATACACCGCGAGACATGAAGCGCGAGAAGATCGACGGATGCCCAATCGCATCCATGCAAATGAGGCAGATCGTATCGGCGTGGGCTGTGGCCATGACGCGTCGAATATCGCAATGCGCTGCAGCTGAACGACCACGCCATACAGCACCCCAACGGTCCGACGTCGCTTTCGCCGTTGCTTCGTGCACGCGCCAATCAGGATCAAGACTGCGTAAAGATGGGCCAATCAAAAGCGCTAGACGAATGCCCCTCGATGCAAGTTCATGGTTGACACAAGCCAGCATGGCTCTTGTACTGCGAATACCTAGTTTCCTTTCCCTATGACGTCGTAAGACGTCAATGCGAGGCTAGTAGCTGCTTTCGACAAACTCATCTGCAGCTCTTGAGTCCTACCGTAGAGTGTTCGTGGCGTCGCAGCCTCTCGGCAAGTTGACACGTTGAAGTTGTGTGTTGAAGCGTTGAAGAAACCTCTCCCATTGCATAAACCTTTCACAATGCATACATCAGCTTAACCGGTTGTGTCGTACTCGCAGCCGTTAATCTTAACAGCTAGCCGATTCGCCGGTTTGTCGTGGCACCAGTCCTTTCGATTGGCCAATACGAATATTCTGTATCCAACCATCCTCGCAGCATGAGTGTTCTCTTTGGGGCGAAGCGCAAGCGCAAGGCCGTCGAGCCGGCCGCGGCCGCAGCGACCGACGATGTGCTCGTACCAGCGACGGCCAAGGTCACACCTTCGATCCTCACGACCTTCAGCGACCTCGGCCTCGACCCATGGCTCGTGACCAAGTGCACGCTCCTCGGCTTGCACAAGCCGACGCCGGTCCAAGTCAACTGCATCCCCGAGATCCTCGCCGGCCGCGACGTCCTTGGCTGTGCGCAGACCGGTAGCGGCAAGACGGCGGCCTTTGCGCTGCCCATTCTGCACACGCTCGGGAAGGAGATGTACGGCCCGTTCGCGCTCGTCTTGACGCCGACGCGCGAGCTTGCGTTCCAGATCGGCGAGCAGTTTCAGGCGCTTGGCAGTGGCATCTCGCTGCGGTCGTGCGTCGTCGTCGGTGGCGTCGACATGATGACGCAGGCCCTCGCGTTGCAGGAGCGTCCGCACGTCATCGTCGCGACGCCCGGCCGCCTCCACGACCACATGCTCCGCCCCAACCCGCCCAACTTGAAGCTCATCAAGTACCTCGTCCTCGATGAAGCCGACCGGCTCTTGAGCTCGACGTTCTCCAAGGACCTTGCGTTCCTTCTCGACCGCATGGGCTCGTCGTCGCGGCAGACGCTCCTCTTCTCGGCGACGATGACAGCCGACCTCAAAGACTTGGAGGCGGTCGCGCTCACGAATCCGTTCCGGTTCGACGCGACGCCGTCAGCGACGACCGTGAGCCAGCTCAAGCAGTCGTACCTCTTTGTGCCGGCGCAGATCAAGACGACGTACCTTATGTACCTCATGTCCAAGCTCGTCGACGACTCGGTGCCCGAAGAACCCGCGAAGAAGAAGAGCTTCAAGGGCAAGAAGCACCTGCCGATCGCGATCCCGGAGGCCGACGGGAAAGACAAGACCGAGTCCATGGTGGTCTTTGTCGCTACGTGCAAGTCGTGCCAGCTCGTGGCCGAGATCGCGCTCGAGCTCGAGCTGCCGTGCGTCGTGCTGCACTCGATGATGGGCCAGTCCCGGCGTCTCGCAGCGCTCGGCAAGTTCAAGTCGGGTCTTGCGCGCGTCCTCATTTGCACGGACGTTGCGTCGCGTGGTCTCGACATCCCCGAGGTGACGCACGTCATCAACTTTGATTTGCCCCGGGACGCCGACGACTACATCCACCGCGTCGGTCGTACGGCCCGCGCAGGTCGGAAGGGTACTTCGATCTCGATCGTGACGCAGCACGACATTGAGCTGCTCCAAAACATTGAAAAGGTCATTGAGAAGCCGCTCGACAACTACGAAGCGCACGCGCCCGAAACCGAAGTGCTCAAAATGCTCAACGACGTGACCACCGCGACGCGCGTCGCCAAGATGAAGATGACCGAACACGGCTTTGACGACAAGCTCAAGCAGCGCCAGCAGCAACGCAAAAAACACACCAAAAAGTCGACATAAATACAAGCGAATCCGAGACACAACCACCTCCCTTGCATCGCTCGACAGATAACTAAGATAGATACATACATAGATAGATAGATAGATAGATAGATAGATAGATAGACAGATGATACTGAAGTAGAGTCCGTGGTGTCAGGTTGCGTGGTGGTGGCCCAGCAGAGGAGCTGCAGGTGCTAATGCTGACGCATGCTAGCCGAGCTGTAGCCATCTCACTTGATGCTTCAAGTGGCCTGCGTCGCCTTGTCTTGGTCATCGCGATCGGGATCGAACCTCGGACATGTCATCGAAAGGACTCCATTATGGAGACGAGCGGGTGCTTTGTAGAGCCAAGCCAAGTCCGCCACCAGCGTCGCCAGAGTGTCGATGTAGATAGACTATTCCAAGCTGCTCTTGTATGATTCCTATTTCTACACTCGACGGGTTACTGCGGCGCAAACTTCTTCATCGCGTACGCGACGACCTTTTCGCCAAAGGTCGGCTCCGGGAGGATCGGCGCGCCAACGGCAATCGTCTCGATCTGCGCGGCGAGGCGCGAGCCCATGTTGATGGCGCGCTTGGCGTCGAGCTCGGAAGCTTCGTCGGCGCCGCCAATGCGGAAGACGTCGACGCCGGCCTTGGTGAGCGGCTCCTCAAGCTCGCGGAGCGGGACCTGACCGGCGCAGACGACGACGTGGTCGACTTCGAGGAGGCGCTGCTGCTTGGTCTTGTTGTCCGTGACGTAGAGGCCGAGGTCGTCGACCTTGTCGTACGAGACGCCGCCGACCATCTCGACGTTGCGGTGCTTGAGCGAGAGGCGGTGGATCCAGCCCGTGGTCTTGCCGAGGCCCTTGCCGTGCTTGCTCGACTTGCGCTGGAGAAGGTACACTTGGCGCTCGACCGTCGGGTGGTCGGGCTTGGCGAGACCGCCACGCGTCGAAATCGACTGGTCGATACCCCACTCCTTGGAGAAGAGACCCATGTCCAAGCTACACACGCAGCAATGAGTTTCAGTGGAGCAAGGGGAGCAATACCTCGGCGACTTGCCGACGTGCGTCGCGTACTCGGCCACATCAAAGCCGATACCGCCGGCACCAATGACGGCCACGCGCTTCCCGAGCGTCACCGACTTGTTGAGGACGTCAATGTAGCTCACGACCTATGCAGATACTTCAGTCGCCACTTGGATACATGGACAGTCGCTTGTACCTTGGGGTGGTTGGCGCCTTCAATCTTGAGCTTGCGGGGCGTAATGCCGGTCGCGAGCACCACCTTGTCAAACTTGGCGTCGACGAGCTCCTGCGCCGAGACGCGCTTGCCGAGCTGCACGTCGACGTTCGTGAGCTTGAGCCGCTTCTCAAAGTACCGGAGCGTCTCGTAAAACTCTTCCTTGCCCGGAACCTGCTTGGCGAGGTTAAACTGCCCACCGACCTCCTTGTGGTCGTCAAAGATCGTCACGTGGTGACCGCGCTGCGCCGCGACCGTCGCCGCCGCCAAACCCGCGGGGCCCGCACCGACCACCGCAATCTTCTTGGGCGCTACGCACAAGTCCATGAGATTCTAGAGTCGGCGATTGTATCGACGACACGTACTTGTCGTCGGGAGGTAGTTGAGCTCGGTCTCGTAGCCCGCACGCGGGTTGACGAGGCATGTGGCCGAGATGCCCTTGAACGTGTGGTCCAAACACGCCTGGTTGCAGCCAATGCACGTGTTGATCTCGTCTTCGCGACCGAGCTTGGCCTTCAAGACGAGCTCCGGATCAGCCAGGAACGGACGCGCCATCGACACCATGTCTACAAGCCACATGGCGTTAGCTGGGGATGGCGGAGAGGGAACGACGCACCGGCGTGGCCCGCGGCGAGAATGTCTTCGGCCACCTGCGGCGAGTTGATGCGGTTGGTCGTAATGAGCGGGATGTCCACTTGGCCCATGAGCTTGTGCGTCACAAACGAGAACGCGCCGCGGGGCACGCTCGTCGCGATCGTCGGGATGCGCGCCTCGTGCCAGCCAATGCCCGTGTTGAGGATCGTCGCGCCAGCGGCCTCGAGTTCCTTGGCCAAGACGACGATTTCTTCCCAGGACGAGCCATCCTAGTATGGTGTCCATGGTGAGGAAGATGGATGTGCATGCAAATAGAGGAAGTACCTTGACGAGGTCGAGCATCGAGAGGCGGAAGATGATGATAAAGTCGGGGCCGACCGCCTGGCGCATCTGGCGCACGATCTCGACAGGGAACTTGATGCGGTTGAGGTAGTCGCCGCCAAACTCGTCCGAGCGCTTGTTGGTGCGCGCGACGATAAACTGGTTGATGAGGTAGCCCTCCGAGCCCATGACTTCCACGCCGTCGTAGCCGGCCTCGCGCGCGTTCACGGCGCACTGCACGTAGTCCTTGATCGTCGAGCGCACATCCGAGGTCGAGAGCGCCTTGGGCGTGAACCAGCCGATTGGCGCCTTGATAGCCGACGGCGCGACGTTGAACGGGTGGTAGCCGTACCGGCCACTGTGCAAGATCTGCATCGCAATCTTGCCCTAATGTCGTTGGCCATAAGCATTTCCGCCGCTGGGTTGCAGACGTACGTCGCTTTCGTGGACGGCTGTCGTGACCTCCTTGTGGCGCTGGATTTCGCTCGACGTCGTGAGCTTGGCCGCCATCGGGCTCACGCGACCGGCGCGGTTGGGCGCAATACCACCTATCCAGCCAGCGCGTTCGAGCTCATGCCATACTGCCATGGCAAACGTACCGGTGACGATGAGACCGACGTCGCCCTTGGCGCGCTCGGCAAAGAACGTGGCGAGGCGCGTGAGCGACCGGCCTTCCTCGAGGCCCGTGTGCATGGAGCCCATGAGGACGCGGTTCTTGAGCGTCGTGAAGCCCAAGTCGAGCGGCTTGAAGACATGCGGGTACTTGGTCATCGTGCCTAGGACGAGGTCGTCGCATGAGCGCTGGCGATCACGGCCATCGCGGGCGTACCGTCGGTCGGTGGTTGCTGGACGCGGCGAATCGAATTCTGTACTCGCCGCCCGTTCTTCAACCTCGCTCCCGTTTAGTAAACGCCCGCTGGATACGCTTTGATCCGGATACGAGGCCGGTTCACTTGACATTACGTATCCGGATGCTCCCACCCGCTACGACCACACGCCGAGCGTCACCGAAAAGGGGCCGCCGCCACCGCTGTGCACATGTTGTCGATAGCTTTGTGGCATTACCATCCACATCCACATAGGTTCAGACCCAGCAGCAACGCAGCTACAGGCTCCTCTCGCTCGCAGAGAATAAAACGTGGTTTTGTCATGCGTTGAAACGACGTTTAACACTTGAACGCAATGGGTTGAACCAAACTTCCTCGACCTTCGTTGCATGCTGGAGAGAGCTGGAGGAGGACGAAAGGTCCAAGCGGCGGCAATCGCGGGAGTGCGTCAGTGATCTTGTGATTAGCATGCCGAAGCGAAGGTGCTCTGTTGAGAAAGCATGTCGTGTCCGGGCTGTCGCGAGAGATACTACGGTATGCAGACTCGACAGAACCAGATGACGATCGTAGTCATCGTACAAGCTTGCACTACGCGGTGTGATGACCATCTCCTTCCTCGTTGTGTGCCCATGCTTTGGACACGCTGAGCATTGCGAGCAGTGTTGTCGAGCAAGGATGGTCGACTGATTGCAGTGATGGCTTGACGTTGCTTTGCGCGAGAGAGATCTCCATGTCCATGGACGCACTGCATTTGCATTATCCGTTGACGGTGACGGTGACGTGGATTACTTGCAGCTGAAACACGATTTCAATGCTACACGGCAACAAGATCGAGGCCGATGCAGTCCGAGAAGCACATACCAAGCACAGACGAGCAGCTCGTCGCTACGCTCCGCGATGTTGGAGTCCTCGTCGATCGGACCGCTACCTGCGTTGTACCATGCAGGCTGTGGACCTCCCAGGGTAGGCCCCCGCTCGAGCGTTGCCACAACCGATTTTGGCAGGGCCGAGACGAGACGAGGCGGTACTCGTGCTCATCTTGGCGACGTAATACGCGGTTGGCGTTGGCGACTGCCACTGCAGCCCGAACGGCGTTGTACCGATGCGCTGGTCACGACCACTAATACCGCGCACGACCCGGGCGGGGCCGGGACCGAGGTGTACCCACAGCAATCTGGGCTATGGCCGGCGGCGATGTCAAGGACCACATTCCGCCACCTCGAGAACAGCCGCGCTGCAACATGAAAGCTTTGCACTCGAAGGCCCGAGTGCCCATAGCAGCCCGAACACAAGACGTCTATTGGCCACCCGCACTTGATCGACGAGCTCGATGGCGGCACCAAGTCTACTTGACGACAGCTCGGCTCGCTCGGCGTCCACGAAGAGCACGCGTTCAAGACCCCGGCCACAATACTGCTGCATGATTGCCTGCAGTGATGCGCCACGCCGCCGCACTGCATGAACGACAGCTTCGTGTACGCGTGCGCCATCTCGTGCTGTGCGGTGGTATGCTCAGGAGCGTTTGCACGGCTCGGCGCCTCCGGTCTCCGAAGAGCAAGACCAATATCTCGTTTCGTAATTGCATGTTAATGGGCACTGTAAGATGCTTATAGAGTCTGCGCTACTGTGCGCGTCGGTGTTGCTCGATGGTTTGGGGCGCGGAAGATGCGCGCTAATTTGAGCTGCACGATGAAATTGTACATCGTGCTGGGATCTTGTCTTGGGCGTTTGTATGCCGGTCGCTTCGAATTTCGATTCACGCAGAGCTGCTTCTATCCGGCATGAATCCGGTCAGTCGTTCAAGCATCATGGCGTCGGATGCCCCGACGACCGGCCCGGCCGCCGAGGGACCCGCCCGGTGGGTCCCGCCGTGTCGGATGCTTATCACGTGAAAAATGTGTGACGTGCCACGTCATCAACAGATGCAACGGGCATCCACACCGCGTTTTTCACCAAATACCACGTAAAAAATCATTAATAATTCATTTAAAAGCGACGTACGGTGCCACGTGGGTTTTACGCATACGTTTTACAACTTTAACGCACCGTTGCTGGACCTTGAACTGTGAGACGCTGAAGAAGATCTGTGCTTCATTGTGGCTCGTGCACCCATGGTCCCCACGTGGTCGTGGGACGAGATGCTCGACGCGCTCGCGCGTTTCCGAAAGCTCCATGGCAACTGTGCCGTGCCACACGAGTTCAAGGTGCCGGCGACCGACGCATGGCCATCCGCGCTGCACGGGAAGCGTCTCGGCTCGTTCGTCTTTGCGTTGCACCGGCGCGTGGAGATCGCCCCGCACAAGCTGTGGAACTCGCTGCACAGCCTCGGCTTCAAGGTCAACTGGTTCTCGGCCACCGACCTCCATGCTCTCGTGAACCACGAGCACCAGCGCCTGCCGGTGAATGCCGTCATCGAAGCCCTCGCGACGTACAAGAAGACCTACCGCTATGGTGCCGTCCATGTCGAGTTTCAAGTGCCAAAGAACAAGTCGTGGCCAGAGGAAGCGCATGGCCTCGCGCTCGCCGATGCGCTTGCGCAACTCCACGAGTACGAGCTGCCAGTGGACATTGAAGCTTCGCTCCGGGTCCACGGCTGTTTTGTGACGTCGCCGCCATGGGAGCAGCTTGTCGGCCTCCTGGAAGCGTACCAACGTCTCCACGGCGACTTTTCCACCGTGCTTGTCGACTACATCGTCCCCGCAACGACCGACTGGCCGCAAATGTGGCACGGCCTCGAGCTCGGCTGCGTGACGTGGCGCCTCGGTCTGCGCCTTCTGCTCCTCCCGGCCGACTACCAGGCGACGTTCGCTGAGCTGGGCTACGTCTTTCCAGCCCACGACATGTGGGTTCATGTGTTTGAGGCGTGGGCGACGTACCAAGACCTCGTGCGCTCGGGCAAGCTCGACCAGCCGCTGCTGCCCCAGTTGGGGTACGTGGTGCCCATTGATGACGACTTGTGGCCGCCGACAATGGCCGGTATGCGCCTTGGCTACTGGGTGCGTGAGCTCGCTTCCGCGCAGGCGCTGTACCTCTTGGCCCCGGCGACCGTCGACCAGTTGCAGCGCATGACCGCCCCGTCGCCAGAAGCGATGGCAATGACCGTCGACGAGGCGCGTGGCGGCTCGGACGATCACGGTATGTCGGTCTTGGACGCCTTTTCTGAGGCAGAGTGCAGCTGGGGCGACTCCGAGTCGGGGCTGTCCGATTCCGAGCTGTCCGAGTCGGAGCTGCCCGCGTCAGAGCTGCTCGATTCAGAGATGGAGACGTCCGACGCAGAGACGCTCGTGCTTGGCGACGACGACGACGCATTGTCGACAAGCGATGGCGTCACGACCGATGACGACGAAGATGACGACGATGAGGTCGCAACCAGAAGGTACGATACCGACTCCTGCACGCGTTAACAACACGCAATGCTAGTGCTACGGAGGCGCCTGCTGTGCTAACCGCGCTTGCTGCAGCGGAATCGGCTGTGCACGACGAGAATGCCATGGCTGCGCCCAGTAGTGACGAGCTCGAATGCAAGCCAGACCCAATCCAGCTCCGGCCACGGGCAACGCGCTCGTTGCAAACACGGTCTGCCGTCCACAGTGTGGCTGCTCGCGTGAAGGAAGAGCGACCATCGAGTCCTCGCCGCCTACGACCTCGATTGCTCGTGAATCGCTATCGCCCTTGAGTTTGCTCGCGTGTTTCCGCGCGTCGACGACGTAGTTTTCCGTGTTGCAGGTTAAAACCCAGCATTTGCTCGTCTCAAGCATACGTCGACTGCGCAGCATGGGTGGATCTACTAGTAGAAGGCTCTTTGTTCATCGCTGGGGCGCTGTCGCGTCTCGGATGCACTTGACGCTCGACGCTGGTGGTGCCACGAGGGTCGGTGCTCTATCCGGATCCGGATAAAGGTGTTTAAAACTGTTTCAGCTGTTTGTTTCTCGAGGCAGTCCAACTGGCAGGAAGCAGCATGGCGCTAGGCGACCCGGCCGACATCTCGATCACGCCGTCGACGTGGAACTACGTGGGCGCCGTGGCCATCGTCGTCGCCGCATGGTTCTTCCGCGTCGAGATGATCCGCGTGACGCTGCGGCTTCTCATGCGTGGCCTCGCGGCGCAGCAGCGGTATCGGAGCATCGCCGGCGGCCTCCGCGAGTTTGAAAAGCTCGTCTTGTACCCGCTCTCGTATGTGGTCTTTATGGTCTTTGTGTGGATCGCGCTCACGATCACGAGCGCGCTCGAGCTCCCGACCGTCAACACGATCGTGCAGATTGGCATTGGCATCCCGATGCTCTGGACCGTGCTGCAGCTCTGCAAGTTTCTCCACGTCGTACGTCGTCTCGCCTCCATCCTGATCATCCTCTTCAGCACCGTCTTGGACTGACTTCGGTGGTAGATGGTGTTGCGGCGCCAGGGCTGGGACGGCCACGACGACAACACGGGCAAGGTCATGATCGTCACGGAAGGCATTGGCGTACGGCCTCGTCGCTCTCGAGTGGGCATGCGACGTCCATGACCTCTTGTAGGTGCTGCAATATGTACTCTGCGCCGTCGTCTTCTACTACTTTTTCTTGAGCCAACTCCAATTCGACACGGTCGAGATCATCACAACGCTCATTTTGGTGCTCGAACTCCTCTTCCTCCTCAGCTCCCACACTTGGGTACTACGACATCGTCCTCCTCCTCACTCTTCTCATATTCGTTGTAGTTTCGCAATGTCATGGGCGGTCTCATCCTCCTCATTGACGAACCCATCAAGAGCGGCAGTCACATCAAGGTGCTCGAGATCGAAGGCGTCGTCGAGCACATGTACCTCCAGTTCTTTACCGTCCGGCAGTACGACCAAGGCCTCGCGATCGTCCCGAATGGCATCCTTCTCACACACGAAGTCCACGTGCGCTCCAAGTCGCTCGACGCGCGCATCGTCCTCGACGTCCACTTGGCGCACGAGACGCCGCCCGCTCACGTCCGCGCTTTTGTCCGCAACGCCGACCGCTTTCTGAGCCAGCACGCGCTCGCGTCGACGTCGTCGGCAGCCAAAGCGCATGACGAGCACATCACCGCAGCGAAGCTCTCGCTCACCCAAGTACTGCGGCGCGCGGTGTGCGAAAAGACGCTGCCGACTGCCGGCGCGACTACGAGTAGTTCGAGCACGAGTAGTACGAGCAATGCCCACCCGGTTCGGTTTTGGGTCACGCTGGACGGTCTCTACCGTGTACAACTTGTCTACTACGTCCACGACCACAAGTTCAAGCACCTCATTGTCGAGAAGCGCGAGGTAGACGCTTTGATGTGGCGATCCACCATGTGCGTTCTTATGGGACATGCGGTAGTTGGCGCTGGGGCTCACGAGCTTGCTCTCGACGATGGGCCTGTCACTCTACGAGCCGGCACCACCGACGATGCCCAAGGCGCCGCCGTCCACGACACGGCTACCACCGATCGCCGAGGCGTTCACCGACGACGACAACAGCAGTGTCGGTCGGCCCGAGAGCAGTCGACGAGACTCGGACGACATGGATGAGACGTCGGGGCCCTACCGACGTCGGCGCGGCCAACACGACACAATGTCAACCTAAAAGAAGACAATATTCTCCACGTTACGAGAGACTAGTCGTGCGAGCGTCCACTGTCGGTCGCCTAGTTCTTTGCCCGGTAAAAGGTGAGGTACGCCATGTGCCAGTCGCCACCGCCCTTGAGCTTCTGAATGTCCTCCGTCTTGCACGGGCTCACGTTGTCATCGTCAAAGCAGAGCCAGTCGTCGTCCTTGACGCGCGCCCAGCCAATGTAGTGGCCCGAGTCGGCCGACCGGCCCTTGTGCGTCACGACGGCAAAAAGCTCATAGTTGCCCTATCCCCGTCATGAGTGTTTCTACGCTTTTTTTTCAAAATGAATCCACCTGGAAGTCGAGCGGGAGACCAATGCCGGCCGACGCGCGGCCGTTGGCCATCGACATGGTCTTGGCCACCTCGAGCGCTTCCTTCTCCTCGGCCGAGAGGCCTTCCATGTCCACGTCGGGCTTCTCTTCGGCGTCACCCACCGTCGTCGTCTCCGGCTTCTTGTCTTTGAATTCGTTCAAAATCAGGTCGGCGTTCCTAGCGCCAATTTGAGTTTCGGCTCCGTATAGCGATTTGCGGCAACGTACTTGTCACGGCCCACCTTGAGGACGGCCTTGAGCTCGTCCGAGCAAAATGGGAACATGTCGAGCACTTGGGGAAAGCTGATCGGCTACAATACACGGTTCGAATCCTGGTAACCGTACGAGTTGCGATACGTACGCGCAGCATCTTGCACTTGACGCCCGTGTGGTCGCGGCTCTCGGGCGTGAGCTTCCAGTAGAAGCGCATGAACTGGACGCAAATGTACTTGGGGAGGCGGTTGATCTTCATCGTCTTCTTCCACGTCGCGTTGCGGCCGAGAACGTCAGAGTTCTTCTCAATCGTGCCCTCGAGACCCTACGCCGCGTGATGTTATGATCGACGACGAAGCGCCCATGCTTACGATCGTAATGCCCTCGGAAATGTGGTTCGTGTCCTTCGTGATATTGCACACGAGCTTGAGCGCCTTCTCCTTCTTCATCATGACGGGCTCGGCGTCCGTCTCGCCGCACTCGAGGCTACGCATGTGGTTCATGAGCGTACAAGGGACAAGAGCGCTGCAAGACGTACCGTTCTTCCATTTCGAGGCCAAAGAGCGCATCGACCATGTTGTCGGTCGACTCCAAGCTCTTGATGGTCGTCGTCGGCGCCTTGAGCTGGCGACCCAGCGTGCTAAAGAGCGCCGACACAAACTCGTCGCTATCCTGCTGCATGTAGCCGCCGCGCGGGCCTTGCTGTGCAAACTGAGGAAACGCGCGGCGCAGCGTCTACCCATGCATGAGCCTCCTATGCCCAAGAAGAGGGACGTACGTCGACAAACATCATGGGCGGGATGCTGTCCAGGTTCGAGTCGAGCTGCGCGTACGTATCGCGGAGGCTCGAGGTAAAGTTGTGCGCGAGGTCGGCCGAGAGACCGCCCTTGTACTCCTTGAGCGCCTCGCGAAAGTCGGGCGCGTACCGCAAGCACTGCAGCGTCGCGTTCATGTAGCACGTGTTGCCGAGGTTGACGAGGCCGGCAGGCATGGCCACGCCAGCGCTAGCGAGCTCCGAGCTCGAGAGGTCTTCGGCAAAGACGATCTTCTCAGTCGGCGCCTTGATCTCTTCGGCCGAGCCCATGAGCATGATCTGCGTGAGCTTGGACGCATCGAGCGTCGTGAGCGGGACGTCGTCCTTGAGCATGCCCTTCCACGCCTTGGACATGAGCTTCTGGCGCTCGATGGGCACGAAGGTCAGCGAGTAGATCTGCGCGCGGAGGCCCGCGACCGTGCCATGCTCGAGGTCCACGTCGAGGTCGAAGGACTGCTTGCCCCACTTGAGCGTCACGGCCACCATAACTCCTGCTCCTCTTGCTGGCCGATGGAAAATGGTTCTGGATTTCGGCAGCGACGGGGAAATTGCGAGCTTTTTAGCCAATCAGCGACAAGTGCATTCGCGCCGCCTCCCCACGTTCGCTACACGGCAAACCTGCGAGACTTGATAATATTAACACCGCCCAGGCGTTGCCACGTCACCGACGACGAGCGAGCATCTCCACGCGACGACGTTGAACCCTCCCACGCCATCGAGTCAAGCCAGCCAAGAACCGATGAACGAAAGGCATGGATGTCCAAGGAGGCGTCAGAGAACCAAGGCAGCTCGAATGACTCTTCCATGCATGTCCGTTTTCTCCAGAGATGCAATGCTACCGGGGTATCGATGACGACTTGACGCGTCATGGGCTTGTGCCACAGTCCTTCCGCTGAGCGTCAAGCAAGCACGCCGAGTCTCCCAAAGGTCCTTCATATCCGCACCCACTGTCAGAGTATATATCGTTGGAGTGTCTTGCAGGAGCTATTTTTTCCATGGCGCACCGTATCGTGCATGCACACAAGGTCCACCACCTTCTATATACCCTTGGCACCGGTCATTAACAAATGTGTACAAATCCAAACACCAAATTTTCAATTCAAGAATGGTGTCGAACGGCGACTATTGTCCGAAATCCCAAGCTGGAAAATTACGGTTTTCCCGAAACGAACATCGCAACTCGACGCAACATGCATCGACTCGGCATCCGCAATGCCGAAGTCGCCGTCATCAACGACGAGATGATCCAAGCGAGTATCACCAAGGACGGCGTCGACACGCTCAATGAGAGCGCCGTCACAGACGTCGAGGGCAGCAGTCCGGACATTGATTTTGCCAAGCTCCAAGTGCTCTCGCTCTCGTTTCGCAACATTTTCAAAATCGACAACCTCCTCACGCTGCGCAGCCTCACCAAGCTGCAACTCGACAACAATGTCATCCAAGAGATTGAGGGCATCGGGCACCTCACGAACCTCACATGGCTCGACCTCTCATTCAACAACATTGCTGAAATCAAGGGCCTCGAAACCCTAACAAAGCTGCACGATTTGACCTTGTACAACAACAACATTGCAAAGTTAGAGAACCTCGACGCCCTCAAGCAGCTTCAGGTACGTTGCGCGATCGAAGTTTTGTTGTTGATTTAGCTCATTTTGAAACAGGTGCTCTCGGTGGGCAACAATGCGCTTGGCAACACGGAAGGCCTCCTGTACCTCAAGTGCCTCGAGAAGCTGCGTGTGCTCAACCTCGAAGGCAACCCCGTGTGCTCCGACCCCGAGTACCGCGCGTACGCTGCCGTCCATTTTTCACGACTTGTGGTGATGAACGAGATAGGTTTGTCCTCGCGCATCTCGATAAGCTCAAATACCTCGATTATTCGCTCGTGGACATGGCCGAAGTCGTGCAAGCGCGGGAGCAGTACCAGGTACGATGCGCCCACAAGGTATTTTGACAATGGATGCAAACACTGTGCGAATAGGACGAGCTGGAAGAAATGAAGGAGGTGAAAGCGATCGAAGATGCGGCGCTGGCACGCGAGGCAGACCACGCCAAGTATACGCAAGTGCTCCAAGAAGCCAGCATTATCATTCTCGAGGTACTCGCTTCATCCATAAACATTGGATCACATGAGAGGATCAACCTAGACGCTGCTCCACGATATGTTTAAAGAAGACACGGAGATCAGCAAGATTGAAGTACTGCCAGGTATGGTCCATTTAGCTACCTACATTGTGTTACTATCGTCTGGCATTAGGGTTACGCAACTTGATCGATGACTACACGGAAAAAGTCAAAGCCGCCACCGAAGACGTTAAAGTCGTGCTTCTTGAGAAGCACGCATCGATCCAAGCTGCGTGCACGGGCTTCAAGTCCCAGTACAAGAAGCAGAACGATACGACGCAGCACAACAGCATCCACGCGTGCGAGCGCTACAAGAAGGCGGTCAAGCACCTCTTCAAACAAGCGGTTGCGACCGCCGACGCGGACGTGACACCCGTGCTAGGCCAAGCCCAAGGTATGTATCAACTTGACAGATTGAAAGAATCTAATACACTGTATTGTAGCGGCGTGCGAGGGCCTCAACACGGAGCTGCTCGAGCACGAGTCGCTTTTGATCGAGTTTGCACAAGACGCGATCGCGTCGTTGGAAAGTCACATTGAGACGATCGGGATCGAAGCGAGGGCCGTCGCGACCGACCATTTCCGGACGATCGAGACACTCGAAAACCACTTCTTCGATGCCGTGACACAGGCACGCTGTTGCCTCGTTGAGAAGTTTGTGCGATGATCCTACATAGCTGGCGGCGAATCTGCTCGAGCGCATGGCGACCGAAGACGGCGAAGAAGACGATTTTCTCAGCGACGAGTGCCGTGCGATCCTCAACGATCGGTGGAAATTGTGCATTTCGCGCAAATTTAGCATTTTTTGTCGTAGCGATGCGCTCAACAATGCTATCAACGGGTCCCACGATATCCACATTGGCAAGCTCCTTGCCCAAGAAGACTCGATGCGCGAACAAAACGTCACCAAGATCCACGAGGTACGCGGTTTATGGACACCATGGCTGCATTTCCGTGGACTGGCATCTCATGCGCTATACTAGGTAATCAAGACGGCCAAGGACGACGAATGGACCCGCAACCGCAAGCGCGTTGCTGAGATCATCAACATGAAGGTACGCTTGATGCGTTGCTTGTTGGTATACGTATCGTTGGTGTGCAGGAAAAGCACTTGTCCGAGATCGCTGCCTTGCGAGAAGAGCTCTCGCGCACCGAGGACGAGTTTTACTAGCCGACTTGCCTTGTATTGTACATACATTACGGAAGATTCCCACTGCGTTCGTGCGAAAATGACGAGCGCAACGGAAGCCAGCACACCTTGTCTCGAGAGTCGCACGGCCAAGGCTCAGTTTGCTGCTTAGGAATCTTGAGTGGGCGTGGCTCGACGGCGATGCCAATGTTTACGACCTGGCCCGAGCCTCGTGGGACAGCACACAATTATAATGACATCGCACCAGAAAAACACTAGTACTTTGCGTGCTTCCGACCTCCTCGCAGTGTGATGTATGCGCATCGGCGTTGACAAATTCGGGACTGGCGATCTTCTGCAGGAATCCGGATAACTTACCCCGCACCGGTTACTTGTCGCTACAAACTTCAAGTCAAAGTACTTTGAAACGTCATCCGGATAAAAGATTAAGATAACCGAGTATCTTTGCGTTTTATCCGGCATGGCGTGGCGCTCTCCTGCGCACGATCGCCGCGCTGCGCAGACAATCCCGGAGCTAACAAGTACTCTGCGTGCGGTACCGGAACCAGCCCCACTGAGTATTACCAAGAGCAAGACGCGAAGGGTGCATTCATAAGAAGCAACGACTACCGACGTACTCCAGCGGAAGACACTTAGCAAAACACAGACGGGCCCTTTGTCCAGAGCAGTGGCGAGCGAAGCCGACGACACACGACAAGAAGCCGCATGAGCTCGCTCTGCTGGTCGCGCAAGAGAGCCGCCATCGCGCTGGGCGAGTGTGGCGAGGCGCGCTTGGCCAGTCCAATCGCGATCGCGCGAAGACGACGGAAGGCGCCGTGCGTCAAGTCGGGGATGTCGGGCAGCTGCAACTGGTTCCACACATCAATACGCGCACGAAGCGACGGCTCGCCGCGGTAGAGCGCCACGAGCGCGTCGTCACGCTGGGCGTACAGTGGCGCCAGCGTATGCTGCAAGTCGTGGACGCGAGCGAGTGCGGCGTTTCGCGAAGCTGCGTCATTGGCGCCCACGTCGTCGGCGGCTTCGTTTAGCGCATCTTCAACCCCGCACACGTCAACGTTGATTGCATGAAACGTCTCAAGCTCGAGAGCGCTCCACGTCACGACACCGAGCGCACCAAACCCAGACGCCGGTACGTCATTTGAAGCCGACTTGGCGACAGCTGGTGATGCCAACGACGACGCCTCGTCGATCGTGACCGCCTCGCAGTCGATGACAACCGCGGTATCGTCGCTATGACCATCGTCCATCACGACATCGTCGTCGTCATCCGAGTCGAGAAGTATCGGGTTGTCAATGCGAGCACCAGCCATGCCACTGTCCTGGTGAATGGGGCTTGCTGCCAGCAGTACGTCATCCGAGTCGAGAAGAATCGGTTCGTCATCCGAGTCGAGTAGAATCGGGTCGTCAATGCGAGCACCAGCCATGCCACTGTCCTGGTGAATGGGGCTTGCTGCCAGCAGTACGATCTCGGGCTTGATACTAGGAGTCATGTTGGCGCTAAACAGTGGCGCGATGGATGAGAGCTCGAAGACAAGATGATTCAGAAGACGTACTTCAACATGGCGTTGTGGGCAGTCGTAATCTCGCGCAAAGCACACACACGGTTATAGAACGTCTCGAGTGGTTCGTTGTCGAGTGCGTGCAGGACGGCCTTGAACCCACAGCGCGTGAGAACGTAGTTGCCGTCGGCGACGCTGCAGACCTCACTCGTTCGATCGACGTTGGCCGCGTCGAGGAGGTGTTCGATCTCCATGGCTGCGCTACCGCTTGGCGTGAGGAACGCAAGAGCCGAGTTGGCGTCGACGACAAAGCCGTCACTCGAGAGCTTCGAGATGCGAATGAGCTCGGCCTGGGCAGGCAGCGGCACGTCGGTGGTCCAACCGTTGCTCAACGTCATGACCTTCTCGAACGACATCGGGGATGTCATACCGCTGACGCGCGCTTGCACTTGGGCGAGGTCGTAAGCGGGCTGCTTCGTCATCAAGGTCGCAAATTCGGAAATGGACATTAAACGGGCGAATGCGACCTTCAACGCGGACTGCAACGTGACGTTATGGCGGCGGCGGCGCGAGGCTGGGATGTCAGCGTGATGAACACTCAGCTGCCAGAGTCAGCGGCGACGGCGGACGGCGTGAAGTCGACAAGAGAGGTCGGCGCAGCGGGGGCATCGTCGTTGGTGCAACTCGGTCGCCAGAACATGGAGAAGGATGCCACAGTTGCCGGTGACCCCTTTTCAGCCAATCCGATGCATTTTTGAAGAAATTTTAGCCAATCCAAAGCCATTGCATCGTGCATCTTGGCACCCACGGTGGCAACACACTGTGGAGTCTCCTTGTGTGTGTGAACGCAAGCGCGTGAACCCTTCCACAAGAGACCAAATCTGGCTCGCCTTGGGCCGTTCTTGGTCGTCCATATTCGAATGAATACCTCGATTTGCTAACACTATTTCCGTGATGACGTGGCGCCCTCCTGTGGTCGGCATCGTGCTCGGTCGATGCGCTCAGCTGAGGAAATTAATAGCGCCATACGAACGGCCCACGCGTCCTGCAAGACATATTGTCCACAATATATGGCCATCCAATTTGGTTGTCTACTTGTCTACCGACTAGATTGATTGAAAATCAAAGCGGGAAGAGCGCACGACGATGCTGCGTCCTTCAAAGAACGCATCGGCGTCCCGGTGGTCTTGATAGAATTCGCCATCGTCCGTTTCCTCGTCGTCGTCGTCAGCGATATTAGCGTCCGCTGTCGCACCAGGCGCGAACAAGACGGGCTCCCTCTCACTTGGCGGCCACGAATACAAGGGACTGTCGCCCAGCGCAGCCGTCGCAAGGTACCGGAGCACGAGCACGCGGCGCACTGCCAGCGCCGAGTTGGGCGCGGACGCATGTGGCAGCAACGGGTGATGTACCGCCGCCTACGATACGTCATATCTTCAGCTTGCTTTCAAAAGAGCACGGTTGTCGACCTCGCCGGCGCGAAGATTGTAGGCCACCGGTGTTTGCGACGCGACGAACGCAGGCGTAAGGACTTTGTCAAACTGAAAGTGGTCGGATGCTTCGCTCTACGCACACGCTGCAGTCGCTACCGGGGCGAAACGCGCTCGTTCGTACAGGAAGAAGGCCGTGCTTGTGCAAGCCTGGCAGCACTTGCAAAGCGCCACTGCCGAGGTCGCGCACATCGTCCAGCGTAATCCTACATACAGGCGACGATATTTGGTGGCATCCTCAAGAAGCGCGTACCAAACAGTCGCCATCGGCGCATCGTCGTTGCGGCCGTCTTGATGCCACGGCGTTGGCGGGCACCTATAAGACTGCACTCAGCAACGAACCATCGCATGGGCAAAGACGTGCCCGCGCGGCTTGCAAAAGAGGTGCGTTTGAATGAGCGTGATCTCGGGGCCGCAAATGTGCTAGTCGTCAACCCACGATGAGCGTTGGCGCCTAGCTTCGGGATGCAAATGCGACTACCTGTACCGCATCGAGCAGCGCTGGCTCGGACGCCTAGCCATCGCTGTCGTCAGCAGAAGCGAGCTTGTTGCAGTTGCCGACAAGGTCAAACAGCCAGCGCTCTCCGAGGAGATGCACGTTCATGATCCACTCGCGGGATACGTCCTCGCTACCACAGCACCCAGGATCAGCATCGAGCCATTCGATATGGCGGCGAGACGGCGTACGCGGTGGCGGCGAGGATGCGGTCGACGTGTCGACACATGATGGCACACGCATCGGGCGTCAGGAAGGGCCGCCAGAGCGCATCTGCATCGGTATCATGAGGATGGGGCGAGGTCGCTTGATCACGTGCGTACAGCCAGCGTCCACGTACTGCCGCGCGTGGTCCTCGGCGCTGTATCGGAACCGCGGGTCGAGAACGCCCATGACGTCACTTCTTGCAGTCCGTTGCGTGCAATTAGACACAGCAAGATCAGCGAACCACGTAAGATCGCCGGCCGCAACCACACTATCGACTCTGTGCGCCTGCGACTCTGTCGTCGGTATTCGCTCACGCAGCTCCGTGTCATTGCACTTTGCTACGGGTTCCTGCTCTGCACACTCTGTCGCCGTTATTCGCAGTCGCAGTGCACAGTTCGCAGGTGCAAGAACGGAAGCACTGCAAGTCGAGCTTCCCTCGTAGGCTACTCGGTCAATAGTCGACGACATATTGCGCATGATATGCATGGATGATGCGCTATCGCGTCATCAAGCATGATGCACGGGACAGGGCGCCACGTCAACCCCCGAGCTTGGCACGGGCTTGCCCAGGTTGTGTGTGATTAGCCATCGCCCGTCGTCCGGATACGCCGGTCATTCATTTCCGATTTTGATGGACGCTCTCTTCTCGACCGAGACGGTCCTCGCGGTCGCCATCGCCGTCGTGGTCATCGCGATCGTCCAACGCGTCTTCGCACCCGCGCCGCCGGCACCGACGCCTGCCGCAGCGCCGACGCCCGAGAAACCAGCGGTCGTTGCGCGCTACTTTACGCTGGACGAGCTGCGCCCGTTCAACGGCGAGGACGGCAAGCCCATCTACGTGGCGATCAAGGGCGACGTGTACGACGTGAGTACGAAGGCCGACTTTTATGGCCCTGGCGCCGGCTACCACCTCTTTGCGGGCCGCGAGACGGCGCGCGCGCTGGCCAAGATGTCATTCGAGGCCGCGGACCTCGACAACACGGACATCTCGGAGCTCAACTTTATGGAGAAGGAGGTGCTGAACGACTGGATCGTCAAGTTCCGTGACTTCAACTCGTACCCGATCGTCGGCCGCGTGCTTGCGCAGAAGGACATGACGCGCGACGAGCTCGCCACGTACACGAACATGCCCATCTACGTGGCGCTCAAGGGTAAGATCTACGACGTGACGATCGGCGGCGCCGACCACTATGGTCCCAACGGCGGCTACAAGCTCTTTGCGGGCAAGGACGCGTCGCGCGCACTCGCGCTCATGTCGTTTGATGCGGTCAACCTCGAGAACCCGCACATTGACGACCTCAACGAGACGCAGACCAAGACGCTCAACGACTGGGAAGCCAAGTTTGCTGCCAAGTACGGCGTCGTGGGCAAGCTCCTGCCGTAGACTCGTCGTCCCCAGTACCATGTAGTAAATTGGAGTCTCGTTCCAGCAGGAACCTCCTTGCCCGAGCCAAGGTGTGCGAGGGATTAGGCTGAAAGAGGTGTATATACGATATAGGCTAGAGCTAGTAGAGACCCTATGCAAGCAGAGTGCCGGCGCGCTTCTTAGAGGATCCCGAGGCAGCAGTACTGGTACTTGTCGTACCACCGCGTGCGCCAGTTGTTGAGCGACTGGTCCACGAGGTCGTTGGCAAACTCCTACATTTTATCTATCAAGATATCAAGCAGAATAGTCAAGTACCTGGCACGCAATCTTGCCGAGGCCCGGGTTGAGGCGGTCCCGGAGACCGTCGATCGTCGCCTTCTTCCCGCCCGAGAAGCACGGGAGGCGCAGCTCGGCTTGGTCGTTCACGAGCATCATCTCGACAAGCAGCACGAGCTTGTCCGTCGACGCGTGCAGCGCCCAGTACGCCTTGACGCAGAGCGATCGAAAGTACCGAAACGTGCTACTGCGCGGGCCGCCCTACACCATGTCCCATGAGCGTCGTTCACACACGCCAACCTACCATGAGCTCGACAAATTCGTCCGTGAGCTTGAACGGCGCGCGTTCAAAGTTGAAGTTGTTGCCCGGGCTGTTGGTAAACAAAAAGCCAAAGTCGATGTGGATCACGTGCCCGTCGGCGTCGACGAGGATGTTGCCGTTGTGCCGGTCCTTGATCTGGAACACGTAGCACACCATCGAGTAGGCCGCAAGGCTCTCGACAAAGTTGCGTCGCGCGCGCTTGAAGCGGCTCGAGTCGGGCGGGCCAAAGTAGCGTACATAAAAGTCCCTACGCCAACAACATTCAGAACCCTAGCCCGACATCGACTCGAAATTTGATACAAGAGGGTGGTGTAGTCCGGGTCGTTCTTCTTGAGCGAGTCGAGCGAGACCGTATCGGGCACCGCTTCGATAAAGCCGCTCGTCGCCGACGTCGCAATCACGTCGTACGGTCTACACGATGCAGACTCGGTGAAAGCAATAAGAAAAAAGAGGCGGACCGCAGTGTGAGTGGAATGTTGGCGTCGACAAACACCTTGTGGCATTGCTGGATGAGCTGTGCGGCAAACTGCTCTTGGCGCAGATCGTCGTTGCTCTTGACAATGACCGGGATGAGCCGCCAGCCCGGGAGGTGGCCGTACGGCGACGATGCCCGCAGCCGGTCTTCCTTTTCGCTCCAGCGCTCGCGAAAGACGATTACAGGCTTGGACTGGTTGGCATTCCAGCCGCCGTCGCCGTTCACACGCTCGTCGCGCTCAATCTTGTCGGCAAAGTCGCCGTCTTCCCAGTCCGAGTCGCTGCTCGGGGACCCGAGGGGTGGCACGTCGATGGTCGGTGGTGCGGACGGCGTCTTCTCTTCCTCCTCGTCGTGTTCATCGACCACGTCGACCGCTGGCTTCTTGCCGCCCTTGGTACTGTATGCACACGTGAGGATGAAGCTACAGGTTATTGCGTCGTACCGCGCGAGCTTCTTGGAGCTTTTTTTGCCGCTGCGACGGTGCGCCCACTGCCCCATCGTTTTCTAGGTGTCAGTACTGACTATGAGACATGTCGACTGACATAAGATGAGGAATACTACCTTGTTGTCGTCGTTTTCGTCGTCGGCGTCGTCGCCTTGGTCCGAGTCCGAGTCGGAATGCCTACACCAGCCATAGTATTTGTTTCGACTAGATGCGATAGTACCCTTCTTTGATGCTGACCGAGATGCTCTTCTTGAGCGACTCGACGATGAACGTCTTGTGCTTGATGGGCTCGGCGTCTTCGTGTTGCTGGGGAAACATGGCGACCGTCGACATGGGCGACTTTGCTGCCGCCGGCGTGTGGCCCGTAGCGACCGCCGTGTAGGGCTTGTCACCCTTCTTCTGTTTCTTTGTGGTCGTCGTCTTGGCCAGCTTGGTGCTATCGGCCTCGTCGGCCGTCGACAGCACCTCGTCACGCTCCGAGGCGGATGACGACGACGACGCATTGTCGGCCATGGCGACCGTCACGCGCTTGTTGAACGGAAGGTTCATCGTGTAGCGGAAGCCGTCGGCACCGGACCGAGACGACTTGCGGCGGCGCGAGCGCTTCCGCGGCTTGGACCGGGGCGACGCGTAGTCGACGACCTCGACGCACATGAGGTATGGCACGCGCTCCTTGGTCGAGAAGGCAAACGACTCGTCGGTTATGATGCGCTTGACACGGTGAAAGGTGTCGCCGATCGGCAGGTACACGACCGAGGACGGCAAAAGCGCCGCTTCAATCTACGCAGTTTTCGATATGCTGGTACAGTCGGGATCAAGCACGTACCTCGGCGAGTCCTTGGCGCAAGTTGGCCTTGCGATCGGCCAGCGGCAGTGGAATGAGCCGGTCCGCGAGGTCGGTGAGCGCCTTGACAAATTGCGGCGTGCCCAGATACTATCGTCCGACGTGCCCATGAGATGCTGAGCCTGGTTAGCGAGCGTGTTACCAGTTGCAGTTGGTCGCGGCAGCCAATCGCGGCTTCTGCCTGCTCGAGCTCGTGCAGACGTGTCGCCATGTCCTTGGTCACCTCCGGCGCTGTCAAGTCAAGCGACGCTTCGGTCGACGACGGCAGCTTAAGTTCGTCTTCGGACGTCGGCGGACGCTTCTCGATTGCAGGCGTCGGGGCCACCGCGACTTCTTCGGCGGTCAAGCCGAGGCTAAAGAGCTTGGCGGGCACGCCGCCTTCCATCTCGATGGCCGACAGAAACGGCGCGTTCTCGGCCGATGGCTGTTCGATGGTAGCGCTAGACATGGTTGTATGAGCTGAAGAGAGCGCAGTACATATTGGTGCAGTACCTCAAGCCTTCCGAGGCGTACGAGACGCCGTTGGCGCAGAACGACTCAAGGAACCAGTGCAGTCGGTGGGCAAACGCAAGCGATCGGCGGCACTGTGAGAGAAGGAAGAACTCGAGCTGGTGCTTCTTCTCGTATTGGCCATGGAGGAGGAACGTGCAGAGCTGCGGAATGTAAAACTCGACCTGCAACGCGCTCAGTGGCCAAGAAACGGGTGAGGCCGGTCCGTACCTTTTGCGCGTCGTCGTCGTAGCACGTGTAGAGCTGCTCGACGACGTGCTTGTGGGCGTAGAGCTGCAAGAGCACGTGGAAGATGTTGGCCGGGCCGTCGTCCTGCTTGGCGTAGATCATGTCGACGACGTCCTTGAGCTTCTCGTCCCAGAAGCGCTTGAACTTCTCGACGCGGTCGACGTCGTCGTCGCTCTCGGTCGAGTTGCCGTTGACCTTGGTCCGATGGCCGCCACCGGCGCAGCAGAAGACGCCCATGCCACTGCTGGTACCGCCCGAAGTTCGATTGCGGTTGATTTAATTCGAATTTTCTTCTCCGTACAATCCGGCGCTCTTTTAATACCCCATATTTTATATACACTTATTGTTTGTATGAAGACATGCATTTAATTTATATCATGGACCTCCGGGTAGACACCATGCGGTCCGACGAGTGCAGTTGTTTGCTGGAAAGGAACGCACTCGGCTGTGCAATAAGAAAAAACATTCATTCAACATACAAATATCAAGTATATATATTAAAAATACAAGCCCGACCAGTTCTGTGCTGACCGTTTCGTAGGCTTACAAACGCCACGTCACAACTTGGGTCAGCCATTATCTGACCTACTTTAGATCTCAAGGCCCATAGAGGGTCCCAAGAGCGAGCTGGCGAGGGCGGCAGCTACATACTGCAGTGCTAGATAGGTACCTTGCGCTACGTCTGCAAAGAGCACGCGCGATAGCGTCGTCGTGGGACGTGCCAAGGACGTAACGAGGCCGATTGGGTGAATAAGCAAAGAGATGGTCGTGATTGATCCGGAATCCGGATAAGCGTCACAGAGGGACTTCACGCACTGCGCTCAGTCGGAATCCTCCAGCATCAGCCGCACACGCCTCATCATGGCCGAGATCGCATCGATCGTCAACCTCGTCAACGAATATGCATTCCTCTTCGGGAAGAGCAACGGCAGCTCGACGCAGCTGCTCGAGCTCTTCACGCCCGACGCGACGCTCTCGGACGACTTTGCCGGCGAGGCCAACGGCCACGACGAGATCCGCGCGGCCCTCGAGACGCTCTTTGAGCTCGAGTTCCTCTCGGAGACGAGTCACATTCCGCAGGGCCACCACGTGATCTTCGAGTCGGACAACGCGGCCAAGGTCACGTCGTACACGGTCATGTTTTGGAAGTGCAACCCGTCCATGATTGTGCGGTGGACCGACAAGGTCGTCAAGACCGAGCAAGGCTGGCGCTTTGCCGCGCGCACGTCGGAAGCGATTCAGAAGAACCTCGAGCACCTTGGCGAAATGCAGCTCCGCGGCAAGAAGAGCTATGCGTCCCATGAATAAGCCAGTGTTTCCAAGTCGCTAATGAACGTTTTTGATTGCATTTATCGTGGTGTTGGCATGGCTTGGGCGGAGGCGCCGAGAAGCAACTTGCTTGCGCTGGACGCGCGACGCCATTACATGGCATGCGCAACGCTGTGAGTGCCACGCACGGTACATGCAGATCCATCTATGCAACGCAGCCGCGATCCTACGGCCTGCGACGTGGACCTGATCACGTCTCTGAGGCGCTTGTCCTCGCGGCGCCTTGTCGCGTACCTTGTCGTCGAGGTCGTCGTCGCGTCGGTCGCTCCGCTTGCGTGGCAGGCTCGTGGCGGCCGATCTTTGTGCCACGAATGCGAGTTTTGTCCAATCACAAAATGTTTCAATGGTCCAATCCAAAGCACGCGTGGTGTTGACATTTTGACCAATGGCCTTGCAGTAGCCCGTCGCTTCCGTTTTCGCCCAGAGCAAGGAAGAGCAGCATGTCGAGTCTGGCCGCGGCCCGCGCCGACAACTTCTACTACCCGCCGGGATGGCGGCCCGAGATGGGCGGTATCAACAAGTTCCAGAAGTCGCACCCGCTCGGGAAGCGGGCCAAGGACATCAAGGACGGAATCCTCGTCGTCCGCTTCGAGATGCCGTTTGACGTCTGGTGCACGCACTGCGAGACGCACATTGGTACGACGCCGCTACCCGGCCTCGCATCGGCTCATGTCATATAGGGCGTGGCGTGCGCTACAATGCCAAGAAGACCAAAGTGGGCATGTATCACTCGACGATCTTGTACGAGTTTGCGCTCAAGTGCGCGACGTGCCAGGGCATCATGCTTGTCCAGAACGACCCGCAGGCCTGTGGCTACAAGCTTGTATCTGGCATTCGCAAGAAGACGCAGGTCGACGATATTCCGATCGGGTCGCACGACGACGAGACAATTGAGGCGTTGAACGCGCCCGAGGTCGGGATCGCGATGGCCGCCGACCCTTTCTTCAAGCTCGAGCACGACAAGAAAGACCGGACCGTGGCCAAGAAGCGTGCCGTGGGACTCGAGAGCCTCCTTGCACTCAACGACAAGGTGTCGGACCAGTACCAGTCGAACGCGAACCTCCGCGCCAGTTTTCGCGCCGAGAAGAAGGTGCTGAAGCGCAAGGCCGACGAAGCCCGCCGACTCAACGTGTCGATTCCGCTCGTGGACGTGCATATCGACGACGTTGTGGCTGCCAAGACGGCAATCTTTACAAACTTGAGTAAGCGCGCCAAGACGACAGTCACCACCGCGCGGCGCCCGGCCACGAAGGACCCGTTCGCCAACTTTGGAGGGTCGTCGAGCTTGCCACGTCACTCGACGTCAGTTGTCCGACGTCGGTAAGACGGCGATGCAAAGC